CGGGGCCCCCACAGGTGCCACCACCCTGGCACTGGTGGGCTGTGGGTGCTCAGGATGCAGAGCTGGGTGTGGGGCCAGGCAGGGGGTCCTGTGGGGTATCACAGGGTGCTGGGGCTGCAGCCACAGGCTCGTGGTGCTGCCTGTGCCCGGCTCGGGAGCTTCTGCGGGGGAACGAGCTTTGATATAAATATCTTTTTGCTCAGCACACGACCTACTTTCCAGACAATGCCATTAGCCTCCCGGCTCCCTCATTCATCTTCTGTTGTCCTCCCCCAGCCCGCCCTGCACTGGCACCCGCGCTGGCACCGCACACCAGGTTCAGTGACACCGTGGGGACCCCCACGCTGGGGCTCGGGGCCAGCCGGCCGCCCCATCCCCACGGCTGTGGGGGGTGGGGCTCTTGCTGTCCAGCCCCTGCCCCCCTGCTCTGGCCTTGCAGGGGTGACCGGGTCCCCTTTGGGGTTTCTCCACCCCGTTGCAGAGGGTGCTCAGCTCCATCATCCCTTCCCGCTGCCTCTGGCACAGTCCGTGCCCTGGTTGGCAATTGGCCTCGTCCAGGGGCAGCCTTGTTGGGGACATCCTCTTTGGGGCTGGGGGGGGGGGGAGCATGGCAAAGCAGGCAGCAGCCAAGCGTCAGCTCTGGGCTGGCTCATGGGCAGCATGTGGGGGCCGGGACCCCTCCCGAGCCCCCCCAGAGCATCCCCGGCACTGGGACCACACGTGTGGTTCATCTGGGGACGATCCCACCGGAGGTCCCACGTGGTGGCTGTGCCGCCCGGTTGGCAGCCGGCGAGCGGCTGGTGGGATTAGGGGCAGGTTGGGCAGAGGGTGCCTGGTCCCACGGGCGTGGGGGGCTGCCCAGCCCCCCCAGGTCCCCAGTGACAGCTCTGCCATCAGTGTTCCCCTGAGAGCTGGAAATGCCTCCCCAGGAGGCAGGGCGGCTGCTGGGCCCACCGCCTGCACAACTCCGCATGCCCCTGGGACTGAGCCCCCGCTCCTCCCCTGCAGCTAAAATTAAATATTCAATTTGTATTGCTGGTAAATCCTGTAAATCTCTTTTATCTCTCAGATCTTGTAGCGGGAATATCAGTGGTGTAATCTCTGCAGGGGCCCGTCCCGCTGCCCTTCGCAGCTCCCCAGTTCGGACCGTGCTCCCCGTTCCCCACGCTCTCCCCGTGGGGTGCTTCAGAGGCTGGGGGCGGAGCAGGACCCCTGTGCCCACGGCAGAGCACCCCACGGCAGAGCACCCCACGGCAGAGCACCCCACGGCACCCACCCTGCGCGTGCTGACCACCACGAGGTCAAGGGTGTGCGCCAGCCACACGCTGTGTGTGATGGGGATGCCAGTGCCTGGGTGACCGATACGGTCCCACCAGAGTGACCCCCATCCCCCCTGTGCCCCCGGCTCACCAGACGTGTACTCCCCCCGTCCCCCCGCCCCCGCGTGAAGAGCATTGTGCAGAACTATGTATTTAAATATTTAGGTTTTCATCAGCTTTGCAAATTAAGCCCATCCATTAAAGTTCGGGTCTTCCGCTGGTGAGCTGGGCTGCGCCGTGCCCTGGGCTCGCTGTGCCCGTCCCAGTCGTGGCCCCGAGGGACCCCGAGAGGGTGGGGGGGGTTGCAGCCTGGGAATGGGGCCCGGTGGCCCGGAGCATCCTCGCCATTCCCAGATCCTGCTTGCTCGAAACCCTTGGTCCCTGCGGCCCCTCTGCGGGAAGAGCCGTGGGACGGGAGAGTGTTGGAAAGGGAACCGGTTGGGATGGTGGTTGTTTGAGGTCGGAGTGGGGGGTGCTGGGGGAAGCGGGGTGCAGGGAAATGCCAGTGGCAGGCGAGAGCCCTGGCACAGCTGAGCACCCAGTGGGAGCGGGGCTGGGGATGGAAGGGCCAGCCCGCCCAGGGCTCGGCGGGGACGGGCAGGGGACACCATCGCCGCTGCCGCGCTCGGCGCCAACGCCGGGCGGCCCCGAGGTCACCGCAGCAGCTTTGGAGTGATCCCCGGCTTAAGTCATTACACCCCGGGGCTGGGAGCCAAGTGGCTTTTTCACCACAGGCAGCACGGCCCGACCTGCCGAGGGAGCGGGCAGCGGGTGGATGGGGAGGGAGAAATGGCACAGACTGGGGATGAGTGGGAAAATGGGGTTCATCCGGCACCGCTGCCAGCCGGGGGGGCTGCCACGGCCCCCAGAAGCCTGGAAAGGGTCTGGTCTAACTGGGGCCAGGGGCAGGTCTAACTCCTGGGGGATGCCCAGAGCCCACCGCCCGCCTGGGGCTCCGTTGGGTGCTAGAGCCTGGTGGGGATGTGAGCAGAGATCCCAGGGTGAGCGTGGCGCCGGGGGGCTGACCCTGCTCGTCCCTTTCCTTTGCTGCAGGTGAATATCAGGCGTGTTGGTCTCGCGTCAGCTCTGCATCCCACCGGGCTCCCCGGGGGTCACCTGCACGTCCCCCCTTTCCGCCACGCGCTGGAGGGGCACCGGGGGAGCACACCAGCTGCTGCAGCGTGGGCAGATTGTCGAGGGTGGCCGTGGGCGCAAAGCTGTCCGTGGGCATGGCTGCTGATGGGTGCTCGTCCGTGCGGCGCAGCGCCCATGAGCCCTGCGCCAGCCGCTGTGGGCTGGGGTGCCTGGCTTGGGGGGGGTCCCTCCGGGGTGGGCTCCCGTGGGGTCCCACCTCCGGCAGTCCTGTGTGCCCGTGTCCTGGCTCCCGTGGCCAGGTTGAGCATCGCTGTGGGGCCGAGGGGGGCCGGCGGTGCCTGTGCCCGGGGGCAGCCCGCCCTGCGTCTGCCTGCGCCCACCCGGGGATGCCCCTTCCCTGGGCCACCTCTTTCCTTCTCAGCCAACTTCTTTGCAGGCTCTGGCTGCCAGCTCTGGCCGCTCCCCGCTTGGACGGGGCGTTTGAAGAAGCAGTTCTTCTGCCAAAATCCGCGGTTGGGCCCCGCAGGGATGGAGCTCCAGGCTCCCTTCTCCGCTGGCTTTGCTCTGGCTCCCTCGCGCGCCCTGGCACAAGAGTGTGGCTCTTGCCCCGAGGGAATGGGCTCTGGGGACCAGGGTGTCGGGGCGGGTGGTGTGGGTTCTGTGTAGAGCAGGGGGGGGGGGGTCCCCGCTCCCCCCCGCGGCGGCAGCCAGAGGCAACTGCGTTGCGGCGGGGTGTCCCGGTGCTGGCGGCTGTGCCGGGATCCCTGGCAGCTGGGGCGCGTCGCGGCCGTATTTCCTCGCTCTGCTCCAGGAGTAATTGCTCAGATGGGGACTTGGGGCAACTCCCATCCCTCTCCCGGCATGGTAATGAGTCAAGAAGACTCAAAGACAAATGGCTCATTAAGAAGCAGTGCTGCATTGCAGGATTTTTCATCCCACCAACCGCTGCATCAGCAGAGGCAGCACCTCTCACGCTCGCTCTCCCCAGCCCTGGAGAAGGAGCTGTCAAGCAGCCGGGGCCGGTGCCAAAATTAATCATGTGCTTAATAACCTGCCCCTCCCGTCGAACGGCCTGTCCTCAGCCCCCGGCACGCGGAGCTCCAGCCCTGGGGCACTGTGGCTTTGGTGCCCGGGAAGAGCCCGCGCTCGGCGAGGAGGGATGTGCCGGGACAGGGCTGAGCCAGGGGAGATGCCCCCCAGCATCGAGATGCCGGGGAACCCCCCAGCATTGGGGTGCCAGGGATCCCCCCAGCATTGGGGTGCCAGGGATCCCCAGCCCGGCTCCGTCAGGGCGTGCTGGGCAGTGCGATGCTGCCGGGCCCTCTCGGCGGCCTCGGTAAACACTTCTCGCTCCGCTCCCATTCGCAATTCTTCAGCTGGTGTTTGTCCTTCACAACTTTTTTAAAATCTCGCCTTTACAGCAGCGCCCGGTTGGTTCCTGCCCCGCGCACCCCTCGCCAGGCAGCGCCCGCCTGCAGCCCGCTCGATTTTCTTTCGTTAACAGTAATTTTCTCGGATTTCCCAATTGCTTCCAGTGCGTTTGCTGCCATCTTTGCATCCTGCTCACTCCCTTTCCCCTTCCTGCTCCCCTTCCCCCGGCCAGCCCCTACTTACCCGGGTGACAAACCTCTCCCCAGTGACACTCGCTTCCCTGCCTGACACAGCTCATGAACCGTCGGTGAGCTGCTTTCAGCTCATTCAACTTTTAAGAAAATAATGACTCGGTGCAGAATTATATACTAAATTAGGCGATCTCTTACTAAGCCCCTCTTTTTTTTCCAGGCTGAGTAAATTTTACTAATACAGCCTAATAAAATAACGGAGCAATTAGTAATAAAATAAAATGTTTGCTTTCTACAATCCTTCTCTGGCTTACAATGAGTTGGGAAAAAGTAAATAGATTAAAAGTGCAGTGGAAACGACCTGGCGGTATTCCATATTTATTTTCTTCCAGTGACCGTAGATCAAATTTGCTCAGCTCCTAAGTGGGAAGACCACTTTATTTCTTATTTTATTTTATTTTTTTTTTTTTCCCAGGCTCCAGCTTGCGCGCGGTGCCGGGTGCTCACACTGTGTGTTTGTTCTCTCCTGCTTTCATCCCCAGCCATAAAGATCCCCAGCAGGACCCGCGCTGGCAAAACCTCGCGCTAATTTGCAAAGCGGGATGGGCCTCGCTCGCACCTCTGCCGGGCCGACGGCTGGAAAAAAAATCCTTTTGCTCGCGCCAGAAAGCCAGGGTGGCGGGAGGGGGCTTTGTGGAGCATATGGCCGGATCTGGAGCGAATCAAAGTCGATGGCGAGGCGGCTGCTGGGCCGGCTCGGGCGCCCGCTGGCAGGGAATTGCATAAGAGGATGGGGCTGGGGATGGTTTTGGGGCTAAGCTGGGCAAAACACGTGTCTGCAGCCGTGCGGAGCCGTCCCCGTCGCTGCCGGTGCGGGCAGCGCTGCCTGTGGGGCGGCCTCAGGGGAGGAGGGAAGGCTGGGCTGCTGAAAAAATACACGGGGAGTTGGGGCAGGCTGGTTTTGGGGAAGAACACCCTTGCTCTTCCTCCCTGGGCTTCATCCCCCTCGTGTCACTCCCCCCAGAGCCTGCTGCCCCCCCGGGAGACCCAGCGTGGAGGAGCTGCCGCCGGCCGGGGCCATGAGGACAGCATCCCCCTGAGCGCCGGGCGGTAAGTGCCACCGACGGGCTTCACCGGGACCCCGGCGCTCGCTGCCCGCTGCTTGGGAAGGGTGGGGGGCCAGGCCCCCCCGGGTGCGGGGCCATCAACCCCAGCTCTCGGGCTTTGACCTGGAAATGTTGGAAAACCCCAATCCCGCCCTGCGCCGCGGCGATTTCCCGGACTCTGACACTGTGGTGGGATTTTGCTGTCCTGTCACCTCCCCGCCGGTGGCCCCGGAGCAAAGCTGGGGGGGGGACGACCCCATGGGGTCCCAGGGGAGTTGAGGCTCCTGCCGGGGCTGCCTCAGGTCCCGGCAGCCCTGGGCCTCGGCACGGCGCTGCCTCCAAGGCAGAGATCTCACCGGGTGGCTGCCGGGAAGCAGAACTGCCTCTGCCAAGTGTCCCCATGGGAAATTAAGCAGGACGCTGAATTTCGGCGCGGCCGCAGCGCCGGGGGCTATGGGCCCCTCTCCTCCTGGCGCTGACCCTCGCGGCGGGGAGAGACGCGCTGGGAGCCGACGGCAGAGGGAAGGTGGCGGTGGGGGAATCGCCGGTGGGAGTTCCTCCAGGCTTTGGATGCAATAAAGGCAAGAAGTGAGTTATTTGTAATGGTAATTATGCTCTTCCAGTTTATCCTAGCACATAATTGTGTGGGCGGTAGGTTCCCACTGGTGGTAATTACCCTGGTGTTAAATGGCACAAAATTCAGACGGGCTGGGTTTTTCCCCCCCCACTTTTTGAGCCTGGGGTTTGGTGGCACGGATCCCCTCCTTCCCTTAGGGCTGCGTGGCACGAGTGGCCTTCAGTGGGACACGGCTCCGGCTCTCGGCCGCGGCCGGCTGCCCCTGCCCCGTGTAGCAGCCTCCTGCCCAGGCTGCTTCCCCTGGCCCGGGGCGAGGAGCCGGCTCGGTGGCTTCTCCTGCACGTGGCCATCCCCGCCAGGACATGGAGACGGGGACCCCGGGCCGCGCTGCCAGTGCTGAGACCCTCAGGATCACCCCCCCAACCCCTTCCCCATCCCCGGGGTGCCCGCAGCGGGGGACTGGCTGGTCCCTGGCCAAGGGCGCAGGCGCTCGCGTGGCTTTGGGGGAGCTGGCACTGGCCGGGACGTAGCACCCTTCATCGTGGCGTGTCCCCATCCTCTGCCATCGCCCCCGCTCCTGCGGGATGGCTGCGGCAGCGGCGCCGACGGGGCCCGGCTTTGTTTTAATTCCCGCACCTGCCGAGCACAAAAGCCCACCGGGCTCGTGGTGACGGGCTGCGCAGCTATTTTGACTCCTTCTTCCCGCCGCAGCGGCAATATTTGGATCAGCTGAGAGCTTCCCTCCCCGAGCAGGAGGTGATAGCTCAGCCCGCGGAGGCAGAGCTGGAGCTGGGAGCCTGTCCGTCCGTCTGTCTGTCTGTCCTGCTGCCGATTGCCGGCTCGATCCCAGGGCAGGGGAGGCAGCCCCCTCCCACACCACTGTGCCCGCTCACTCGTAGCAGCTCTCCCGGGAGGGGAAGAGGCATTTCTCTTCGTAAGAGGCTGCAGCATCCTTCTGTTGAGATGCAGCAATTAGGGAGCCTCATTAGAGCAGGAGCGTGATTGTGAGGGCGGGGGGGGGCGGCGGGGGGGCGGGGGGGGGAGAGGCGCAGGACTGAGCCATCCAGCCTTGAAGCCGGGAAGGACGGTGGCGGCGGAGGCTTTATTAGGGCAGACGCATTCCCCAGGCGCTGCCGCGGCCCCGTCTGCCGCTCGCCGCCAACGCACGCGTCGCCAGCCGTCCCCGCGCCCCTCGGGGGCCGCCAGCCCCTCTCCCCCTCCCCGGGCTCCTCGGGGTACGCGGTCCCTCTCCCTCCCCACGCGTCCCCAGCCCTCCCCGTGTCCCTCGTTTCCAGTCCCCACGTGTCCAACGGGCGCTGCCGAGCCTGTCCCGCGGTCACCTCTCCCTGCGGCCGGTGCCGGCGATGGGCTGCTCGCAGCACCCTGCCCAGATATGATAACAAGAGCATTAACGATGCTTGTTAATTAGCTGAGCTACACTGGAGAATAAGTAATTTCCTCATTTACAGTCACAGCAAAGGCAGAGCCTTTGAGTGACCGTAAGGAAGACAAACCTCCACGGGCGCACGCAGCTCCGGCGTCCCGGCAGCCGATGCGGGGCTCAGCCCGGCTCGATGCCGTCCGTCCGTCCGTCCTGCTCTGCCGTGGGGATGCCCCCCACACTGCAGCCACCCCCGCTGCCCGGCTGTCCCTCCCCGGGGGCCGGCAGGGCCGTGGGGGCCGGCGGGGTGGGCGGTGGTGGGTCTCCATCCGCAGTCGGGCTCCGCGGCTGGGGCTGTGCGGGGAGGACGGGCTGGATGGAGACATCGGAGCGCGGCCCCCCCGCCGCACCCCGCGGCAGCTCATTAACGGCTCTGTGAATCGCAACGGCTGAAAAACTCAGCCAGAACCGTTTTCCTAATGGAGAAACACTTCATAATATTTGGTGTCGGAGAAGAAAACAAGTTTCTGATGATGGCAGCGTGTCCTCCCTCACCGTCTGCGGGCCCTGCGCTGCCTGCATCGCTGCCGGCGGTGCCTTCTCCTTCCCGCTCCCCCCTTCGCGCTGCCCCCTCCGAGCAGCCGAGCTGGGGGGTGACCCCAGATGCCCGGCCCTGGCACCGTGCCCCCCTCGCCCCATGGAGAGCCAGGTTTCTGGCACTCCAGCTCGGCTTCAAAGGGGCTCAGCCGGGGCCGGATCCTGCCCCGGGAGCTTCCCACTCCCCTCGCTGGGTTCCCACGGGACAGCCCCGATGTTTCGCCGGCGGTGGGGCGCAGAGGGGGAGCGTGACGCCGTGCCTGTCCCTGTCCCCGCAGATGAGCCCGCAGGGACGGCCCTGCAAGATGCCGAGGCTACGGGGTGGGTGCTGACACCATGAAGGGCTACCATGGGGAGCGTAGCCAGGCACAGCCCTCCTCCGGCCACCGCTGCCGCTGCATCCCAGAGGACTGCGAGCGTCCCGCCGACTACGTCCAGCACGGCCCCGAGGGCCGGCCACCGTACCTCCTCAGCCCCAGCGAGCCGTGTTCCCTGGAGCATCCCTACTGCCCGGCGCGGAGCCCCGGCACGGCCGGCGAGTGCCCGGGCGGGCCCCTGAGCGAGCCGCCCTCTGCCAGCGCCAGCAGCACCTTCCCGAGGATGCACCACGCGCAGCAGCAGCCCTACGACTCCTGCGACGAATGCATGGCGACCGCCCACCCCGCCAGCAAGATCAACCGCCTGCCCCCCACGCTGCTGGACCAGTTCGAAAAGCAGCTGCCGCTGCACCACGACGGCTTCCACACGCTGCAGTACCCGCGGGCCGGCGGCGCCGAGCCCCGCAGCGAGAGCCCCAGCCGCATCCGTCACCTTGTCCACTCTGTCCAGAAGCTCTTCGCCAAGTCCCACTCCCTGGAGGCGCCGGCCAAGCGGGACTACAACGGCGCCAAGATGGACGGCCGCGGGGACGGCTACCACCACCACCACCACCACCACCACCACCATCACCACCACCAGTCCCGCCACGGCAAGCGGAGCAAGAGCAAGGACCGCAAGGTGGACTCCCGGCACCGGTCCAAGATGATGGGCTGGTGGAGCTCCGATGACAACCTGGACAGCGACAGCAGCTACATGGTGTCCGGCCGGCACGCCGCCGACCAGGGCACCCAGTACTGCGTGGACGCTCCCGAAAGTGCCTTCAGAGACTTGACCTTGAAGAGTCTAAAGGGTGGCGGGGAAGGAAAATGCCTGGCCTGTGCCGGCATGTCCATGTCTCTGGATGGTCAGACGCTCAAGAGGAGCGCCTGGCACACCATGACCGTCAGCCAGGCCCGCGAAGCCTACCCCAGCGCCGGTGGCACCGAGAAGACCTTGATGCTTCAGGAAGCAAAGGCCAAAGACCGAGCGTACCAGTACCTGCAGGTGAGGGGCCGGGCAGGGAGGGGGGGCTGCCACCCCGGGGAACTGCAGCTGGTGATGCCGTGGGGCGAGCCGGGGCTGGGACCCTCCACCCCAGCATCCCAGGGCGCTGTGGGGATGGTCCTGCTCCACTCTGTGTCCCCAGTGCCTGCGTGCCACCCCCCGGGGTCCCGGGCCGGTCCCCGCTGTCCCCTCACCAGCAGTGCAGAGCCCCATCTGCCACCTCCTGCCCCGTTCCCGCTGGATTTGGGGTCACACCAGCTTTGTCAGCTCGGGGCTGGCGGTGGCCCCGCTCCCTCCTCACAGCTTTTATCCCGCTTGTGCCTGGCTGGGTGCCGCTGCCTGCCTTGTACCGGGCTCCCCTCTAAGTCATGCCCCTTCCAATTAAAAACTAATTAACTCGTCTCTCCCTTTCCCCGGAGGAAGGAGACAGGGAGAGGCAACGCTGCGCTGGCTGGGGGCGGGGGGTGGCCAAGGCCCTTCCCCACCCGCAGCCAGGGTGTCAGGGCAGGGTGCTGGCCCCACCACCCTCCCCATGGGGTTTGGGGGACACTGTCCCCTCCCCACATCCCGGTAAGGACCCCGTGGTACTGGTGGCCACAACATCAGCCGGGCGGCTGCGCTGGCATGGGTGGGATTTGGTCCAGCAGCCGGGGGGGGCTGCGAGGTGAGAGCGGATGCGCTGCCCCACGTTTTGGGGAATGGCCCCACACGGGGAGCCGTGGCTGTTAGGAGGGATCAGCTCTCCTGGATTTTGGGGCTTTCCCAGCGGGTCCGAGCCCCCAGGGTCTGTCCTTGCAGCTCTGGGGTGCCGTGGGGAGGGCAGGGGAGCCGCGCCAGCACGTGGGCTAGCCTCGGGGCACGCATGTGTGTGGGGTTTGGGCCACGCATGCCCCCCAGGGCTCGGGACGCTGGCCACCGCGTCCTCCCACGCTTGCCTCCTGCCCCAGGTGCCGCAGGACGAGTGGAGCGGGTACCCGGCGGTGGGCAAGGACGGGGAGATCCCCTGCCGACGGATGCGCAGCGGCAGCTACATCAAGGCCATGGGCGACGAGGACAGCGCCGACTCGGACGCCAGCGCCAAGATATCGCCCAGGGCGGCCACGCGGCGAGACAGCTACCGCCGCTCCTCCAGCGCCGACCAGGCCAGGACCAAGTAAGGGCTGTCACCTCCTGGCCCCGTGGCAGCACGGAGGGCAGCAGCGGGGCTGTGGGCTGGGGCTCCCCGGCATCGTCCTGGCTCACGGTCGCGCTGAGCCCCGTCCCTGCGCTGGAGCTGCCCTTGGTGGGCGCCCGGGGAGGGGGGACACGTGGCTGCGCTGGGCTTCGGGGTGGGACCCGCTGCTGCAGCCACGCGCAGAAGGTTGGGGAGAAGAGGCATGTCCCGACGGAGATAACAGGGATGCGCCCCAGGGGCAGTGGGTGACAGGCTGGCTCCTTGTCCTCGAGGCGGGCATGGACCCCTCCACCAGCCCTCCGTACCCCCAGGCCAGCGTTTTGGGGCAGTCAGGAGTGGGGAGAGCGGCGGTGGCCAGCGGGAGCATCGCTGCGGCTGCGTTTCCGAACGCTCTGCTTGAATGTGTTGCTTTTGGTGCGATCCCTTCTATTCCCACTGTCTCTCATTAGGTTTGCAAGTAGGCACTATTCTGATTCATATATCTGTAACTGTCCCAGCTGCTGCACGCCACCGCGAATGCTCCCACGGGGACAGGGCTACGGGCGTTCCTTCACCACCGGCCAGGTAGGGTTCCACACGGGGCAGGTTGGGCCAGGGGTGGGGACGGCGGATGTTCCTCTGAGCATCTCCTGCCCCGCTCGGCCCCGGCTCGCCTCGCCGACCCCAGCCTCACCCACCGCTCTCCCCAGATCAACGACGAGCTCAACCACCAGTTCGAGGCCGTCTGCGAGTCGGTTTTCGGCGAGGTGGAGTCGCAGGCCGTGGAGGCGCTGGACCTGCCCGGCTGCTTCCGCATGCGGAGCCACAGCTACCTGCGGGCCATCCAGGCGGGCTGCTCCCAGGACGACGACTGCCTCTCGCTCTTCTCCATGTCGGCCCCCGCCGGGCCGCCCATCACCAGCAGCATCCTGAAGCCCAGCACTTGTGAGTCCCGGGGGGGGTGGCGGGGGCTCGGCCGCGCGAGGGACCCCTGCATCTCCCTGTCTGGGTGCTTCCCAAGGGCTACTGCTAACCCCCCCCCCCTCCTGCCCCCAGCCCCCGGCACAAGGCAGGAGCATCCTGCTCGTGACTCAGTCTCAGGCACGGGGCTCCTCCGTGCTCCCGGCACCCATCTGCCATTCCTTCCTTCCCTCCACTTCCATCCCCATCTCCGCGCCTTGCTGGGTGCTGCAGCGGTGTGTCCCACCGGGGTCTGGGGTGCTTTCCAATCCCTTTCTGGGGATAAACCGGCCAAACAGTCCCTCTGAGCTCCAGCCCAGATCTCAGCCAGCTGAGGCGCAAACCCCGCGGGGCCGCGCTGCGGGAGGAGATGGGCACCGTACCCCCCCGGGGCCCCCTATTCGTGGCGGAAAATGAGCAAGTGTCTGTATTTTCACGTGCCTTTTCATCCTGCGCCTCTCCCACAACAGCCTTCAGTTACAGAAAAGCTCCACCTCCCATCCCTCCAGGAACCAAAGCCAAACCCCTCATCTCCGTCACGGCGCAGAGCAGCACCGAGTCCACCCACGAGACCTACCTGCCCGGCGAGGTCGCCCGCAGCCCCGCTTGGTCCAAAGACGCCGCGGCCCGCTGCAACTCGGCCGAGAGCCTGGAGAGCTCCAAGGTGACTGCCGTGGCCCTCGACCTGCCCCCGGTCCAGCCCCGCGCCGCTCCCAAGCCCTCCACGCTCATCATCAAGGCCATCCCTGGCCGGGAGGAGCTGAGGAGCTTGGCTCGGCAGCGCAAGTGGCGTCCCTCCATCGGCGTCCAGGTGGGCTTCGCTGCTCCCCGCGGGCTCCTGAGCCGGCTCCCAGCCTGCCTGAGCGGCGTGGGCGATGCTGAGCCGCCGCGCCACGTCTCGGGGCCGCCCTCCAGCGCTTTCCCTCTTGCCCCTTGGCAGGTCGAGGCCATCTCCGACTCGGATACGGAGAGCCGGAGCCAGAGGGAGTTCCACTCCATCGGGGTGCAGGTGGAGGAGGACAAAAGGTACCGCGCAGCCGGGCTGGGCTGAGACCTGCCACACTCACTACAACGGGGGATTGGGTCCCTCTGGGGCTCCCCGAGCTCCACATGCCACCACTGCCCCGCAGCATCTTTTCCCTCTCTCCTTCAACCCCCCAGAGCTCAGCACCATCCCCGTCCTGGGCTGTCTGCCCCCACCTGGGGCAGGATCTGGCCTTCCCTTTGCCCTCGCACCTTGCTGCTGCAAGTGGCCTGCCCGGGGAAGGGGCTCCCCTGCTCCCGCCCTGAGCTCGGGTCTCCTCTGCTGGGGCTCAACCCTGGGCTTTGAGCCTGGCCCAGGCGCAGATGAGACCTTTGGGATTTTCTGCAGCTAAACATGACGTTTTGGCTGGGCTGGGAGTGCCATGTGCCGGGGGACCTGCATGGCCCGCGGGAGGGAAGCTCCGGCAACGTGCCCACGCAGCCCCAGCACACGCTCTTCTCCATCCTCGGTCCAGCGCCGGTAGCCATGGAAACGGGCTAAGAGCAGAGGAGATGAGGGACTGGCAGGTTGTGGCTGCTCAGGGCTGTCCTCGCAAGCCCCGAATGCTCCGGGATCCAGAGCGGGGTGCCCCAGCCCCATCCTGCCCGCCGGCATCCCTCACCCTGCCCCTGCCCGCCATGGTACCCGGCGCGAGGGGGACAGCGGGGCTGTCCTGGCTGGCTGCGAGGGTCCCCACGCGCTCTCGCTCTCCGCAGGCGAGCGCGCTTCAAGCGCTCCAACAGCGTGACGGCGGGCGTGCAGGCGGACCTGGAGCTGGAGGGCTTCACCGGCCTGGCCGTGGCCACCGAGGACAAAGCCCTGCAGTTCGGGCGCCCCTTCCAGCGGCACTCCTCGGAGCCCGAGTCCGGCCGGCAGTACGCCGTGTACAAGACGGTGCACACGCAGGGGCAGTGGGCGTACCGGGAGGACTACCAGCTGCAGTACGACACGGTGGAGGTGCCCCGGCGGGACGCCTGGATGGAGCGGGGCTCCCGCAGCCTCCCCGACTCCGGCCGTGCCTCCCCCTGCCACCGCGACGGCGAATGGTTCATCAAACTGCTGCAGGCGGAGGTGGAGAAGATGGAGGGCTGGTGTCAGCAGATGGAGAGGGAGGCTGAGGACTACGACCTGCCGGAGGAGAGTGAGTCGGGGGGGGGTTTTGCTGGGGTTGGGAGGGACTGGGGCTATTGTAGAGCTGGGGGGGGGCACAGCCACGGTCCTGCAGCGCTCCCACCTTGGAGCATCTTCCCTGCCAAGGCTAAAGAGGTTGGGTGGGGGCAAGAAACACCGGGAGACCCTCTGGGACTAGTGGGGTCTGGGGGAGGGAGGAAATGCCACATGGGTTTTGGGGAGGGATTCGAGCTGCCCGGGCTGTCCCGCTGCCGCCAAGGGGGTGCAGGTCCCCGCTGTGCAGGGGAGAGGCTCTGCGCCCCGTGGGAACACTGACTGTCTGCTCTCCCCCCACCAGTCCTGGAGAAGATCCGGAGCGCTGTGGGCAGCGCCCAGCTCCTCATGTCCCAGAAGGTGCAGCAGTTTTACCGCCTCTGCCAGCAGAACATGGTCAGTGCCGGGCAGCGGTGCGGCGGGGTCTGCCGTGGTGGGCCGGGGGGGTCTTGTACCCTTAGCCAGTGAAAAAGGGACTTTGTAATGCCATAGGGGAGAGCTGGACAGAGACACCCCCCCCTCCCCAGCAGCGTGGGGGTGGGATGGCCACGTGGCTAGCAGAGCCGTTGTCCCGCGGGCAGATGTGGATGACACTCCGTCCCTCTGTCCCCACAGGATCCCAACGCGTTCCCCGTGCCCACCTTCCAAGACCTGGCCGGCTTCTGGGACCTCCTGCAGCTCTCCATTGAGGACGTCAGCATGAAGTTCGCGGAGCTCCAGCAGCTCAAGGCCAACGGGTGGAAGATCGTGGAGCCCAAGGTAAGGGCTGGCACTTGTCCCTGGTCACCTCTCCCTCCCTCCTCCTCCCCAAGCACATCCGCACCCAAACCGCCGCTGCCGGGCTGTCGCCGGTGGCTGCTTTTAGCAAACACTTGAAAAACAGAGCTGGGCAAAAAGGAGGGTAAAGAAGGGGTTGTTCCGCCGCCGCGGTCTTGCTGGGTGTTTTGGGGCAGTGCTGCTGGCAAAGGGCCGGGCAGGGTCTCAGCGCCGCGGACACCTTCACGCCCGTGCAGATGGACGAGAGGACGCGGAGCCCTGCCCTCGCAGCTCGGCGTGGTGCAGGAGGGTCCACGGGGCTGTTTCACTGTGACGGGAGGGTCCACGGGGCCGTCTCAGTGTCAGGAGGGTCCACAGGGCCGTCTCACCATGGCAGGAGGGTCCACAGGGCTGTCTCACCGTGGCGAGAGGGTCCACGGGGCCATCTCACTGTGGCAGGAGTGTCCACTGGGCTGTCTCACCGTGGCAAGAGGGTCCACGGGGCTGTCTCACTGTGATGGGAGGGTCCACGGGGCCGTCTCAGTGTCAGGAGGGTCCACAGGGCCGTCTCACCATGGCAGGAGGGTCCACGCGGCTGTCTCACCGTGGCAAGAGGGTCCATGGGGCTGTCTCACAGTGTCAGGAGGGTCCACAGGGCCATCTCACTGTGGCGAGAGGGTCCACGGGGCTGTCTCACCATGGCAAGAGGGTCCACGGGGCTGTCTCACCATGGCAAGAGGGTCCACAGGGCTGTCTCACCATGGCAGGAGGGTCCACGGGGCTGTCTCAGTGTCAGGAGGGTCCACAGGGCCGTCTCACCATGGCAGGAGGGTCCACAGGGCTGTCTCACCGTGGCGAGAGGGTCCACGGGGCCATCTCACTGTGGCAGGAGTGTCCACTGGGCTGTCTCACCGTGGCAAGAGGGTCCACGGGGCTGTCTCACTGTGATGGGAGGGTCCACGGGGCCGTCTCAGTGTCAGGAGGGTCCACAGGGCCGTCTCACCATGGCAGGAGGGTCCACGCGGCTGTCTCACCGTGGCAAGAGGGTCCATGGGGCTGTCTCACAGTGTCAGGAGGGTCCACAGGGCCATCTCACTGTGGCGAGAGGGTCCACGGGGCTGTCTCACCGTGGCAAGAGGGTCCATGGGGCTGTCTCACAGTGTCAGGAGGGTCCACAGGGCCATCTCACTGTGGCGAGAGGGTCCACGGGGCTGTCTCACCATGGCAAGAGGGTCCACGGGGCTGTCTCACCATGGCAAGAGGGTCCACAGGGCTGTCTCACCATGGCAGGAGGGTCCACGGGGCTGTCTCACTGTGATGGGAGGGTCCACGGGGCCGTCTCACCATGGCAGGAGGGTCCACGGGGCTGTCTCACTGTGGCAAGAGGGTCCACGGGGCTATCTCACAGTGTCAGGAGGGTCCACGGGGCCGTCTCACCGTGGCTTTGGCAGCACCGTGTACGGAGGTGCACGTGCCCCGCACGCCCCCCAGCTGTGCCGAGCCCACCGGGACGCCCGTTCCACAAAGCTCCCGGCCCCACACCCGCGCTGAAGCCCCCGTTGTCTGTGCAGGAGGAGAAGAAGGTGCCTCCCCCGATACCAAAGAAGCCGCCGCGCTCCAAGGTGCACCCGGTGAAGGAGCGCTCCCTGGACTCGGTGGACCGGCAGCGGCAGGAGGCCCGCAAGCGGCTCCTGGCAGCCAAGCGAGCTGCCTCCTTCCGCCAGAGCTCGGCCACCGAGAGCGCGGACAGCATCGAGATCTACATCCCCGAGGCGCAGACCCGGCTGTGACCGCAGCCTCCGCTTTTCTACCCGGACTGGACGGTGCGGCCGTAGCTCACTGTGATGGGGGGCCGCGGGGGGACACCCTGGGGCAGCCCTTGGCCCCACTCACAGCTTCTCTCTTTTCTATCTTTACACCTTTCGTGGACCCGATGGCGGGTGAACACAAGCCCGGTTCTGCCCCGTCCCGTCGCCCCCCGCCCGCATGCCCCTGCCAGCCTCTCCCGGGGTTCGGGGCTCTCCCTCCCTCTGCCCTCTGTGGGGCCGTGTCCCACCTCTCTGTCTCCCCCCCCCCCCCCCAGCCCTTCCGCACCACCCCCCCAGCCTGCATCCCAACCAAAAGAGAGGCGACCCCCAGCCCCCGGCCCCACCGGGCTGGGGGAGGGGAGGGGGCTGCAGGCAGGCCCCCCCCACCTCTCTGTACTCAGTGCAATCGCCCAGTGGGGACGGGCCCCCCCCCCGCCCAGTCAGAGCCCCCCCAGCCCCGCTCCCCGGCCCTGCCAGCACGTGGTTTTGGGACGCGGTGGGGACAAGGGGCTCCCCCGTGTTGCCCCCCACCTGCCTCCGGCTCGGGTGCCCTGGGGCACCCAGGGCTCCTTCCCCTCTATACATATATAAATATAACCTGAGGAATAAACCAGAAATTACACGTGACCAGCGCTGCGTTCTGGCTGGTGGCACGGCCCAGAGCAGCAGAAACCCCCCGGTCACGGCGAGCCGCCCCGCTTCCCTCGCACGGAGCATCGCGACGCGCTTCTCCCCTTCCCGCTCAGCCCTCCTTCCCCGCCGGTCTGTCCCTCCATCCGTCTGTCCTTCCCTCCTGCCAGCCTGGAGGCCGGGAGCACCTCTGCGGCGTGGCGCTAGGGCTGGGGGGGATACGGGGTGTGTGTGTGTCCCCCTCCTCCCCGTGCCTCGCTGACGCTTCCCCGGTGTGCGAGCGAGGCGGTAGCGGGGGGAGACCTGCCTGCAGCCCCCTTGCACCCGCAGTGTAGGGGACCACGGCGGCTCTGCCCCGGGCCAGGCTCGGTGCCGGCGGGTGGGACGGGAGCGTGGACATGGCCAGCAGCTGCCCCTTGAGTGGGGGGGCTGCTAGAGATCACCCCAAGGGGGTCACCCCTTCTCCCCGAGCTCCCGGTGCCCCGCGGGGATGGGACACCCCGGGATGCTGCTGCTCCCAGCTCCTCCATCGCTGCGCACAGAGCTGGGAGCAGGGGGTGTGTGTGTGGGGGGGGGGGGGGGGGCGTCCCCAAAAGTCCTCTCCAGGGCAGAGCAGCGTGACAGGGCAGGAGGCTGCATCTTCCCCGTCCTTGTCCCCATCCCCGGTCCCTCTCCAAGCATCCTGTCCCCTGCAGTGTCCCCTTTTGGTGGCAGAAGAGGGGAGGACCCCACCCCTGTCCCCCACCCCGCCACACCAGCAGCCCCACGCAGCGTCACCAGCCACCCCCCCAGGCAGGGCCGGTGGGTGCCGGGTAGCTCCCAAAATCCAGGGCCAAACCTCGTCCAGGGCCCTGGGGGCAGGGCGGCGGGATCAGAGGCAGCTGGGAGGGGGGGCACCCAGCTCGTGCCCCCCATGGAACAGGGGGGGGCCGGGGCCGAGCAGGGGGGACGCCTCGCTGGGGGTCCCTCACTCCAGGGGGGGGTCTGTCGGTGCTAAACACCTCCGGGACGGCAGTGCCCACTCAGCCACCCAAAGGCCTTTCCCACCCCGCTCCCCACCCCTCCCCTGCACCCCGGATTTAGGGATGTGCCTGGGAAGGGCCCCCCCTGGGCCCCCCCCCGGCCAGCGCCGTGCAGTGACCGTGACACGTGGCTCCCTTTTTATTGTAATGAACCACCGCAATTAATAAAGATGACTTTGGTTACTCCGGGCCAGCGGCCACCTCCCCGTGGGGATGTGGCCGGCGCCGGGCTCGCCTTTCCCCTGTCTACTGCCCCTTCGTGTCTGTGGGGTGGGAGAGGGGTGTCCGTGGGGTGGGAGATCTCCCCAGAGGGTAGCTGGGGGTGTCTGCAGGTCTCCCCGTGGGAATCTCCCTCTGTCTCTTCCCATGGCTTTTTCCCTGTGGATCACTCCACGGGTCTCCCCGTGGGTATCTCCCTGTGGGTCTCTCCCCACAGGTGTGCCGCCCACTGGTGTCTCCCCGTGGATCTCCCCTCCGTGGGTCTCATCACGGGTGTCACCAAGCAGCTCTCTCCCCCAGGTCTCCCTGTGGGTATCTTCCCAGGACTCTTTCTGGGGGTCCCTCCCTGTGGGTCCCCACGTGGCTCTCTCCCTCCGTGGCTCTCCCCCCATTGCTCTTTCCCCCGTGGGTCTCTACTCTGTGCCTCTCTGCCCCGTTTCTCTTTCCCCTGTGGCTATTTCCCCCTGTGCCTCTTTCTCCCGTGGCTCTCCCCCCGTGGCTCTCTCCCCTCGTGGCTCTCCCCCCGTGCCTCTTTCCTCCGTGGTTTGGGTCTCCCCCGGTGGCTCTCTCCCCCCGTGCTTTGGCTCTCCCCCCGTAGTTTGGCTCTCCTCCGTGGCTCTCTCCCCCCGTGGGTTCGGTCTCCCCGTGGGTTCAGTCCCTCCGTGGGTTCGGTCTCTCCGTGGGTTCGGTCTCCCTCCGTGGGTCTCTCCCCCCGTGGGTTCGGTCCCTCCGTGGGTTCGGTCTCCCCCCGAGGGTCTCTCCCCCCGTGGGTCTCCCCTCGGAGCCGCCTCCGCCGCCGCCGCTCCTCCAGCGCCGCCGATCCCCCGCCGTCCGCCAGGGGGCAGCACCGCCCCGCCGGGCCGCGGGGGCGCCTCTCTCGGCCGCGCTCCCGCCCGCCGCCGCGGACCGGAAGGGGCGGGGCGACAGCGGCGGCGGCGGCGGCGGAGGTGGCGGCCGGGCCCAGGTGAGCGGGGCCGCCCCGGGGCTCGCTCGGGCTCCGGCTGCGGCTCCGGGACCCCCGGGAGGGGCCGGGCGGGGTGTCCCGGCGCGACCCAGTCGGGTCCCCATCTCCTGTGGGTCAGTGCTGAGGCCGCGGGGCGGCCCCCCCTCCCCTCCCGCCCTGGTACGGCCTTGCCCGCCGGGGCGCGGCCTAGCCCGCAGGCCTCGGGCTCCGCGGGGAAGGGCGGGGGGTGGGGGGCCCGGTTTGTGACCGCCGCCTCCCGCAGCCCCCGGCGCCATGTGGTCCGTGGTCTGGGCGGCCGTGCGCTCCAAGGCCCCGTACGTCACCTTCCCGGTGGCTTTCGTGGTGGGGCTGGTGGGCTACCACCTGGAGTGGTTCCTCCGTGGCGACCCCCCGCCCGCGGCCGAGGAGGAGAAGAGCATCTCGGAGCAGCGGGAGGACCGCAAGCTGCAGGAGATCGCGGGCAAGGACCTGACCAAGGTGGTCAGCCTGAAGGACAAGCTTGAGTTCGCCCCTCGGGCCGTGCTGAACAGGAACCGCCCGGAAAAGAGCTAATAAAGCTGTCTGGGCCAACGCGGTGCCCTGGAGCAACTGTCCTCGGCTGCCAGAGAGCTGTGTCCCCCAGCACCGTGCTGGGGACACCCCTGTCACCTCCACATCCTTCACCAGCCTCCCTCCTGGGCCACATGCTGTGCCCACTGCTGCTCTTCACCCTCCCGGGGCCCGCTGGAGGGTCAGGGTTTGCCCACCCCATGGATGTGCTCAAGACACAGCACCCAGACCCCCTCCTTCATGAGAGCGTGGGCAGGGAGCCACGCTTTGGAGGTGGAGCGTGTCTGAAACTTATCACCTCTTGGCCTGTCCTGGAACCACGAAAGCCCCTCGGCCTCCTTTCACCCGTGTCTCTTTAGCTGCGGTTCCTCCCATGGCGTGAAGGTAGAAGAAACGTGGACTTGAGTGACGTGGGGTCGGGGTCAGGCTAACTGCCTGTGGCGGGAGGACCTGCTGTCTTGCTCACAGCTCTCCCAAGGCTCTTGGTGAGCCCCGACCATGCTGCCACGTTGCACCCCCCGGGAGCCTGAGCGGCGCTGGGGATCCCTGGGGAACTCCTCTGCATCATCCCCAGGCTGCGCAGCGAGGAAGGGGGACGAGGGGAAGTGGAAGTCCTGGCCCTGCTTCTGTTGTGGAGCTCCACTTGTGGAGCTCTGAGCGTGGTGGTGGCTTTGGACCGGTGTGTAGAGAGCGGGGAGATCTCTGCCCTGTACAGGAACAGTCAGAATAAACTTCTGCCAGTCCTTGGGCCTCTGTGTCTTCTGGCCTCAGCCCTGGCTCAGAGCGTGTTTCTGCTGCCCGTGTTTTCAAGAAGCAGCCCCTTCTACAACGGGAAAAATGCTGTTGTTGTCCCTGGCCGGGCACTGATGTGAGGGCCTGGCAGCAGGGTGAGGGGCAGGAAGGAGGGGAAGGCACTGAAATCCCAGCCCCTGCTGCAGTTGTACCTCCCTCCCGGCTCCCCCGGCGGCGTCATCTGCTTCCCTTCGGCCTCCTTATCTAGACAAGAAGGGCTGTGGCAGCACCGGGTGGGGTCCCCAAGGACAGGCGGGTTCCTGCTGGGCTGCTGAGCGTGGCAGGAGAGGCAGCGAGCACCGGTGGCTGGTGTCCCCTCCAGCCTCTGGTGTCACCAATATGGCAGGACCAGACCCTGGTGACGGTTGCCCGGGCAGGGCCAGCTGCTCTCTGCTGGAGCTGTAGCTGGGGGTTATCGCTGCCTCCCGGCTTGTTTTTTCCCCTGGTGCCTGAGCGAGGCCTCGCTGCTGCCCCGGCCTTCCCCTCCCGGGGACCATAAATCTGTCGTGTCTGGTGCGAAGCCCTGAGGTCAGCAGCCAGTTCAGCGTTTTGCATCGCTCCGTCCCGTTTCCTCGGGGCTGGCTCCTGCGCTGCTGACAGCTTTACTGCTGGTGCTGCCCGGCTGTGTTTACCTCCTGACCTGCTGTCCTTGGGCTGGATCGCTGCCTTCCAGCTGGGCTCAGGGCCCGGCACTGCTGGGAACTCGCAGGCCTTTGCCATCGCGGCGCGTGAGGGCAGCTGAGGCTGGGGTAGGAGGTGCAGGAAGTCTCGGGGTGATGCAAAGGCTCTGCCAGCCCTGCCCCGCTGCTGCCTCCTGCACTGGGGCTCGCAGCACCTCTCGTGTCACCGCCTCGGTCCCCCTGGCAGGCTGGCACTGTCCCCTGAGCTTGCCCCTGCCCTTGGCCGCTTGCTTTCCCAGCCTGGCTGCGGGGTGATGCTGGGTGACGGCTCTTCCTTATTGTGTGCTGGGGTGGGAACGGTCCCGTCCCTTCCTCCAACTGGGACCAGCCGGACCCAGCTCGGAAACGTCTTCCAAAACGTCTTTGTTCACCCCGCGCCGGAGCGGCTCCCTCGGCTGTTTACAGCCCATTGATCTGCCTGTTTCCAGGGCCGGCCGGGCACAATCGGGCTTTGTCGGGGCCTCGCTGCCCCGTTTCCTCCCCTGGGCCCACGCGGTGCCGGTCGGGGGGGGGGGGCTGCTCCGGTGTGGTGCTGGAGCGATGTCCTCGGGCAGGGCTGAGCCCGCGTGGGCACTGATGGCACCTGGCCGGGCAGCCCCTGCCCTGCTGGTCCTGCCGTGTTTCCAGCTGCTTTCCATCTGTCTGGGGACTCCTGTCCATCCCCCCGGCATTGCTGCGGGGCCGTGGATTCCCCGCAGGTGCTGGGGCAGGGGTGAAGTCGCTTCCCAGAGACCGGTTGCCTTTCTCCTAAACCCTCGGTGCCGTAAACCCACCCTTCCTCCCATTGAATCCCAACAATGTGCTGCCTGGGAAGCGCCGGCTGGACAAGAATAGGAGCCGACAAGCACTTGGGGCTGGGGCGAGCAGCCGCAGTAGCTCACAAAGAGCGAGAGGAAGCTTTGTTGAATAAATGGCTTCCCAAGCCTGCACACTTGCTCAAGGGCAAGTCCTTGGTCCAGTCCAGTGTGTTTGTAATCCAGCTGTTCCCAGTACAGCACAGCTGGGCGCTGCAGCGGGGCCCGTGCCTGGCCACCGGCGTTTTGCTGACGAGCATCCTCCCAGGGCTTGTCCGGCTTTGGGGAAGTCCCTGTACTGTGCCACAGAGCAGGGATCCAATCTGGCAGAAGCGCTGCCTGTCCTTGCCCAGCACGTGGTGGCCGTGCCCCAGACTCGGGGGCAGCAAGCTGTGCTCTTGGCATGGCCCTGCTGCCTTGCTGCTTCCTCCCCGCTGGCTGCGAGGGCGGCTGCAGCTCCCGGGGTGACCCTTTGCCCTGCCCAGTGCTGGATTTGCTCCTGGGGGTCCATCGCGAGCAGCTTGGGAGAGGAGCAGGCGGTGGTTTCCAGAGGCAGGATGCAGGGAGCGAGGTGGGATCATGGAGGAGAGGTGTGAGCTGTGCCCCAGCTCGCGAGAGGTCAGCCCAAGGGACTGGGGCAGCTGCTGAGGGGGGGCAGCGAGACCCCCCCGGCCACTCGGCACGGCCGGGTGGCTGCAGCAGGCAGCTGGTTAGATCAGAGCAGGGATGCCCCAGCTGCGCGGGGCTGGGGACGCTGCGCTGCCACAGGGGCTGCTCAGAGCCATCGGTCCCCTTCCCACAAGGCCCAGGGTGATGATGCTTTGGGGAGGAGAGGAAGGGTGCTGGGGGGGGGTCTGGGGGGTGGGAGCCAGGGCCCACAGGGACTCAAACTCCCGTGGCCCATCTTGGAGTGGTGTGGTCACCCTGGGGCAGCCAGGACCTGCACACAGTGCGGTGTCCCTGCAGCCCTGGGACATGGAGGGTGCTCACCCCGGCTGCGCTGGAGAGCAAATGGCGTGTGTGTGTCCCCCCCCCAGCACGTCCCCCGCAGCCCCTGGGGACATCTGCTCCCTCCCCTGCCCCAGCCAGCCCAGGCTGTTTTCCCAGGCTCTGGTTTTGCCCTTTTCCCGAGCGCAGCAAAGTCCTTTCCCAGCCTCCCCATCTCGCTCGCCTCTTCCTGCCGTGGCCCCCGGCGCAGGCCCACCACGCCGCGCCCGACAGCTCCTTTCTGCAGCCAGCAAAAGCCCCGAAGTGCTGGGGGAGCGGGGCAGCTCTGCCCTACATCGTGACACAGCCTGGGGACAGGGCCCCTTCCCACCCAGCACTGCCTCTTGCAGCTCAGGGCTGATCCCCTCCCCAACCCCAGCATCCCAGGGCCACCGCAGCTCCTTGCTTTTAGACCGCATCAATGTCCCCACGCCAGGAAAACCCTCCCGGCAGCCCCTGCCCTCGTGGTGCTGCACCGGGATGATGCCCTGAGCCGCTGGCAGGGGCAGGACCCATCCCGGGGTGGGCACGGGGTGCCGGGCACTGTGGTCCCGTTGCCTCCGTGCGAGGAAGTGGCCGGAGGGGAGCTACAATGTCAGGATGCGGGAAGTCATCGGGGCTATTGAGCGCGTTTCCTCCCGCCCGAGGTTCTCACACTGGGCCGCATTGTCTGCCGTGCCCACGCGTGGAGGGCTAAATATAACCCGGGGCCGGGGCCTGGGGGGAGGAAGGGAGCTGTTTTGGGGGTTTGCTTTTTCTCTGTTGTGCACTGGCAGCGGTGCTGGTAAGGGTAGGATTGTACCTGGCTTGGTGGTGCCTCAGTGGTGGGGGCTGTGGGTGCAGGGTGCTGGGGCTCTGGGAGGGGTCAGTGTCTGGCCTAGGAGGATGCTCCTGCCTGTGCCCCCCCCGAGGGGCTGCGGGAATTGGGGCACTGGGACGCGGGGCCCTGGTGGGACCATGCTGTGGCCCTGGTTGGCATCCCCCTGCCCAGCCCTCTGCCCTGCCTCCGCTCAGCCGCAATTTTGGTCCTGCTGTGGCTCTTCCTGTGCACTGGTTGGATTTAGACACTTGCTATTTTCTGTACGCTGGGAAAGGTTAAAAATAAACTCCTTGGTGCTCAGCCAGTGCCGTCGGCAGAGCCTTGCAGGCGCGACACGCTGTGGCAGCCCTCACAGCTCCTCTCCCCTAGCCCAAGGCAGGATAGTGCGGGGGGAGCCCAGCACAGACTGGTCCTAACTGGGGCTGGCAGGACCCTCCCTGCAAACCCATGGCTGTGGGGCAGTCACTGGCGCAGGCTCCTGGGGGCCATGGCTGGTGTTAGGCCAAGGTCCCCAGCAGGATTTGGGGTCCCAGGGCTGGCAGAGCTGCCCCAAAGCCTTTTCTGACTCAGGGGGTGCTCCAGGCAGGGTGATTTGGCAGGGATGGGGTTGTTGGTGGGGAGTACAGTCAGCCTTGCATTTGGATAAACCCCACCGGGCTTTTAGGTGGGGGTTCCAGAACCCAAGGGCAACGTCAGTGCAGGGGTCCCAGCCTGAGTGGCCACGGGAACAGGCCCCACGGTGCTCCCACCCCACGGCCATGCCCAGGGCTCTCCGCCGTCCCAGCTGGGCGGCTGCGGTGGGTCCCGGTGCCTGTGCATCGCGGCACATACACGGGGCTGTGCTCACTGGCCGTTACCCCAGAGCTGGGTCTCAGGGGTGCCCATGGGGACCCCCTCACCACAGCCCCCAAGCCCGCCCGTGCCACCGCAGGGCTCAGCATCACGGTACGGGGCCGGGCGCTGGGGCAGCGAGCGCTGTTCCCAGAAAGGGGCCGGAGGGGCCTGTTTACTCAGGAGGGAGCGCGGAGGTGTGAGAAAGGCCGTGCGCGTCCGGCCGGCCACTCTCTGGCCCCAAGCTGTGCCAAAGGGCTTCGCCGGGCCAGCCCGTGCCCTTATCAGCTTCAAACTTTTATTTGCCTAAAGGGCCGCCCGCCTGCCTTTTAGGGGGCTGCTGCCCCCCTCCCCGGCCCCGCCGTGCAGGTGAGCCCCTCGCTGTTGTTGTTGGCGTGTGCCGCGGGCAGGTCCCGGCGGCGTGGGGTCACGCCGGCCGCCCCGAGCCACCTTGTCACAACACGGGAACAATAGCAAGCTGCGGAGCCGTGTTTGCGCAGCGCCCGTGGCCAGGCACCGTGTCCAGGCAAGGGGGATTCTCGGCCGTCTTGTTTTCCACCTTGCAGCGCCGTTCGGAAAAGCGTGATGCTCCCCCCGTGCCAACAAAAATATCAGCTCAGGAGAGGGGAGGCGAGCGGGGGAGCAACGCTGGCGGGTAAACACACATCCCGGCTGCACCGGTACCTTTCACACGGGTATTTCCTCCCGGCTGAGCATGGCCCCCCCCCGAAAGCTGTGGGTCTTTGCAGCTCTGCTGATGCCTGGTGAGCACTGGGCTGTGGTCCCCCCATTGCACTGGGGCGCTCTGTGGGGTCCCCACTGGGCAAAGGTGGGAGCAGGGCAGGGTCCCTGTGGAGGGGACCTACCCCTACATCCTCCTGGAGGGTGCAGGAGAGGGCTGAGTGCTAGCAGGGTGCGCCCCAGACCCCCACCCCAGGGGATTTTACCCTCCTCAGCCCCAGCAGGGAGGGGGACCAAGGGTGGGCTCAGCTGCCAGCCCAGGCTCTGCACCAAGGGCACCGCAGCCGGGTGCCTCCCTCTCCGCTTCCGCCAGTGGCTGATGGCAGCGATATCACCCCCTATCACCCATATTTCATTTTCTCCAGGGTATTTTTAGTCCGTCCCACCCTCGCTGAAGAGGCCCTCGGCCGAGAGCAGGCTCTGCCCTGGGCTGGCTTGGCTGCAGAAACTAAACAACAGTCCCAGCTGCATTGTGTGCCTTTATCTGCAGCTCATTTCCAGCTATTATGCAGCCACAGGCAGCTCCCTGGCCTCCGCCGGGTTTATCGGTGGCAGGGGGAGAGGGGCTGAGCTCTGCTTTGGGCTACCCTGAGCCTGCACCTTGCTGAGGCCAGGTACAAGGGGACAGGACACTATAGCAGGGAGGTTTGTGCTTTCAGTGCCCCCACAGCACAACTGGAGCTCAGGGGGTGTCCACGCTCCCCTTCACCCCATCCCCCCCAAGACAGCACCTTCCCTCTTTCTTGGCCCCCAACCCTTACCCTGCCCCCCCAAAGCAGCTGCGTGAAGCACAGTCACACCACACTTCACCTTTTTCATCCATCCAGCTTTATTCAACAAGATGCAGCACTGAGTCTGCCAGGGGGAAAGGAAACAGCATTGAGGATCAATAGCCCTTTGGTCACGGCAGGACCTTCCCCTTTCACAGCGTCGCTGGGCTGGGGAAGTTGGGGCAACGGTTTTTATGGGGGGCTGTTGGTTCTTCCATCCCCCCCAGCCCCTCAGCCCACAGCAGGAGATGACTAGTGCAAAGTAATAAAACCAATAACCCCCCAAACGAGCAGTCGCCAGGCTAATTCCTCCCCAAAAACCACAGGGCTGGAGGGTGCGGGGCCCAGGCTGGACACGGCTCCCCAAATCCCCCTCACAGCTGCACCTTTAAGGCAGAAAGCTCCATGCTCAGGCCAGCAGGATAAAAATAACTTAAGAGACACGCACCACATGGGAAAGGGTCCAGGGGCAGGAGGCGGAGCGGCGGGACTCACACTCCTGGGGCACCCAAGAAGTGACCCTGCAGCCATCGGGATCAGCCCATCACTGCAGAGCCCCGACCGCGAGCTGCCGCCAGCTTAACCCCCTCGTTGTCCCACGTGAAGGGGGGCAGCTCCTCCAGCAAACCCTGGGCAGAAGCCACCGGCCCCACTGGCTCCCCACCGGGGTCACAGGAACGGGACGGGGCTGGTGGCCAGGACCCCTCAGGCAGCGGTGCCCCAGCCCGGTTCCCTCCAGTCCTCCGAGGCTCAGCCTGCTCCGTGCAGAGGCGAGCGGCTTCCCACGGCCACACGCCCGGCTCTCACGCCGGCGGGGGCTCCGGCGAGCCCCGGGGTCCGGCCAAGCCGCGGCTCCCGAGGGGGTCGCAGCCTCGGGGACAGCCTGTTCCCAGCGGCGGTGGCTCCAGGGATTTCTCCCTTTCCCACGGCGAGGCACACGCCGTCCTGGGGAACTTTCTGCAGTTTCCTTCCTTGCAGGGTCTGTGGGGGAAAATGGGAGAGAGCGGAGGCTCCTGAGCGCCGCACCCCAGGGGCAGGCAGGTCCCTGCGGGCAGGGACCCATCCGTATGGCACAGCACCAGGCGGGAGGCAGCTGCCTGCCCACGGCCAGCACCTTCGCAGGCACGAGGGACCAAGGAAGGTCCCCTCGGCCGCCCGGGGCCAGCCCAGCACTAGACATATTGCTTTTTGGAGGCTGAGCTCCCGGGCCGGCTGCACAGCTTCTCCTCTGGGGTGGGGGCTTCGGCAGCCCTGGGGGCGTAGGGGTCCGAGAGCGACCTGCTGCCGCTGCCCAGCGCCAGGTTCTCCTCGTTGTGGAAGTTGGCCCAGTTCTGCTCGCTGGAGAGCTTGTTGTAGGCCTGGTAGGGCGGCGTGTGGCTCTCAGCCATGGGCAGGAAGGGGTAGTGCTTGGGTGGGTAGGGACCCAAGACCATGCTGTCGGCAAAGGCGTCCCGGCTCAGGCCAGCCGGCCCCGACACCTTCTTGATGTTACTAAGCAGGTTCTTGCAGCAGAGGTGGAAGAGCTCCAGGAGGTTCAGGATTAAGGAGATCAGGCCCATCACCAGCATGAAGATGATGAAGATGCTCTTCTCGGTGGGGCGGGAGATGAAGCAGTCAACCTGATGGGGGCAAGGGTCCCTCTTGCACACATAGCGGGGCACCATGGAGAAGCCGTACAGGTACCACTGGCCAACGAGGAAGCCAGCCTCAAAGATGCTCTTGCAGATCACACTGATGAGGTACGTCCACATCAGCGCCCCTCGGATCTTGAGTCGCCCGTCCTCTGTCATGTAGATCTTGGACATCTTCTTCTCCACGGCTGCCAGGGCCTGCTCGATCTTTGGGTCCTTGCTGTGGATAGCCCGAAGCTCGCTCTCCTGTTGCTTCAGCTTCTCCTCCTTCCGGGAGAGATAGACAACGTGGCCGAGGTAAATCAGGGTTGGGGTGCTGACAAAGAGGAACTGGAGCACCCAGTAGCGGATGTGGGAGATGGGGAAGGCTTTGTCATAGCAGACGTTGGTGCAGCCTGGCTGCTTGGTGTTGCACACGAAATCCGACTGCTCGTCCCCCCACACAGACTCCCCAGCCAAGCCCAGGATGAGGATGCGGAAGATGAAGAGCACGGTGAGCCAGATCTTCCCGATCACAGTCGAGTGCTCCTGGACTTGGTCCAGCAGTTTCTCCAGGAAACCCCAGTCGCCCATCTTTTAGGGAGCCTTGTGCCTCTGCCAGCAGAGAGGGGAGGAGAGCCAAGTCAGTTCTCCGCTGAGGGTCCCAGCAAACCCACCGAGGAGCATCCCCCACCTGAGGGAGGGAGCCAGGCAGCATTTCTGCGCCCAGGAGCGCTCCTCCTCCACCCCAATGCCCAGTGTGGAAACATGGGGAGAAGAGGCAGCGCAGGGATTTGCCTCCCCCCAGCAGCACCCAGCCCACAGCACCCCCAGCTCGTGGCTGCCCTGGCCCCCCAGGACACAGCCCGCAGCCAAGGGCTCCTGGGCTGGCTGGGTTGGGGCTGCCTGGAGCAGCCAGAGAGGGGGCACGGCTGGGGCTCACAGGGGGAGCCCCAATTTGCTCCTCCTGCAGCCCCCCGCCCCGGCTTTACCAAAGAACAGAGAGCAGCAGGGCTGCGACGAGGGGACTGCAACCCCCCGGGGTACAGCAGCCACCTCGACACCCATTCAGGGCTCACCCCAAATTGACAGGACAGTCCCCAGCCAGCTCCCTTGCTGTGGGGTGACAGCACCCCAGTCCCAGTGCATTTCCCCTTTGCCCAGGGCTCTCCCGGGCCCGGGGACCCCCGAGGCCACTCACCATCCACAGCCCCGGTGCTGCCGCGGGGACCCCGGGGTGCCCCGACCTCAGCCCCGGCTGCCGCCGAGCCGAGCCCAGCCCGCACCCCCCCCCCGCAGGAGCTCAGCCCCGCAGCCCGGCTGGGAGAGAGGAAGCGGCTGCAGCCCTGGCTCCTAATTAACCCCTGCTAATTAAACAGGCAGAGGTGCCAGCTGGACCGTTAAAGGGACACCCAGAAGCGGTGGGTGCCCCGAAGCAGCCAGCGGGTGCCAGCGGTGGGGGGTTCCCCCGTCCCCAAGCGCGGTGTCCCCGAGCGGTGCCCGGTGCCGTCGGGGGGGTCCCGGGGACCCCTCACTCACCTCCGCCGCTCCGGGCACGTCCCGTCGGGCTCGGGCCGCGCTGGGTGTGAGCGGCCGGGCCGGGCCGGGCGGTTCAGGCCGTGCGGGGCCCCGGGGAACCGGGGGAGGAGCGCGGGCAGGAAACTGGGGGCCGGGGCTTAGCGCCGAGCCGCAGGTGTGCGGGGCCGCCCCGACCCGCTGCCCCCACGGCCGAGGGGGCGGCCCCGGCAGGCAGGGGGGGCGGTGGGTCCGCGGAGCTCCGCCCGGCCTCCCCCCTCCCTTCCCCCCCCCCGCCCCACCGCGGGTGAAGCCGTCGGGGGGCAGCGGGAAGCCCGGCTGTCCCTGCTGCGGGGACAGCCCGGCGGCCCATGCTCTGCTTGTGGCTGAGCGGGGGAAAGAAGGACCCACCCGGGATGTACGGACCCTGCCCACGGGTGGGGCCCTCGGCACGATCAACCCACTGCGCTCCCCTAAAGCCACCGCGCTTTCGGTACCCGCATCCCTGGCCGGGGGCACCGCGGGGGGAGGCAGAGCCGGGGAGATGCCGGGGCGTGCGGCGGGGTGTCCCCGGGGGGATGCTGCGTCCCCTGCCCGCTCCGGCCCGTCCCCACGCGGGTCCGTGCGGCGTGACGGGCGCTGGGTGGTGCTGGAGCCACACCGGAGCCCAGCCCCGCGTCCCCCGCCGCTACCGGGCGGAGCTGAGCCGGGCTCCGGGCTCCGGGGGCCGCGCCCAGGTTGGAAGCGGAGCTTTGCTGTCGGGGGGCTCGAACGGGGCGTTGCGGGGGTTTGCGGGGGCACCGCGACAAGGAGCGGCGGGGGGGGACAGCGGGTGGGTGGATGGTGATATTTTATGCACCGGCTTAAGTCCTGCTGGTTTCCGGGCTGCGGGGGCAGAACCCCCCCGTGTGTGCCCCCCACTCGCTGTCCTGAAGCAAGCGCAAAGGGCCGGCCGAGCGTGACGGGCTTGGGCTTGGGCTCTTGAAACCAGCAACTAGGCCAGTCTGCACACACAACTGGGAGCTGCCTCCTCTCCCACGCGGAGACGTGGCATTTCCTCCTCACAAACAGTGCCGGGGTTGAGCCGAGGGCAGAGCCGGAACAGCATCGTTATGTTTAATATAAAATAATTGCCATGCTTCGGGTAACACCCACGTGTCGCCCCGTGCTGTGGCACCAGGGTGCTGCGGAGCCCAGTGCCCATCTCCCACTCAGCACTGTGAACCTTGCTCCCCCCTCCCAGCACCCCTGGGTTGTGGCTGCCCAAGCCCACGGTCCCCCCTCTGTGCTGGTCCCCAGTGATGCTCTGTGTCCTGCCAGCCCTCCATGGGAGGAAACCATCACCTCCGGGCGGCTATTCAACCTCCTGGAGCATCTCTCCTCTGGCACAGGATGCCCCGTGCCCTGGGCTGGCACTGCAGGTGACACAGGTGACGTGGTGCTGGGGTGCCCACGGGAGCAGCCCACGCTGCAAGCATTTGCTCCGTGTCCCAGCACAGAGGCTCATCACCCTCCCAGCAGCGTGGGCATCACCGTCGCAGCCTCTCCCAGCAGCACGAGCCCCGGCTGTGCCAGTGCCCACCACGACACACTCGTGGGTGTGGGGAAGCCGCGGGTGGGCCAAACAGAGCTGGGAACACAGCTGGCTGGAGAGCCGGCAGACCCTCCCCGTAGCGCTGCTTAAGGAGAGATTAAATGGAAATCATTCCTATTTATTGTAATATTTATCAAGGTTTAGTAAATAATTGATGCTGATCCCTCCTTGATTTCCTTGGGGGCCAGCGTGCGGTTCTGGTGAATTAAGGTGTAATGACGTATGACAAGCGGGGAGGAGGTGGAGGGGGCAGGTGCTGGGCACGCCAGCCCTGGGGCTCAACTCGTGCTGCCCCGGCGTGGGTGGGAGTGAGGGGGACTTGGCCACGGGCTCCTGGGGAACCTCTGCAAATCCATTTCTTCTGCCCTCACCGGTCCCCCTGATTTGCAGTGTGCAGATCCCAGCGTCTATACACCACACGACGTTTATTGACCTTTTGGATCCGCAGCTTTTGTCTTGCAGGATGTGTCCGGCCAAGGTGAGGGGGGAAGCAGCAGAGCCAGCAAGGGCGTTTGGGCAGGACACCGGCACAGCGCTTGCGTGAGCGAAGTGAGAAAAGCTGCTCCTGCCCCAGCACTGGTGAACTGGGCAAACTGGGCCAACTGAGCACTTGGCGACAGCTCGGCTCCTCCGTCATTACTTTGGGTGCGTGAAGAAGGCTCTGGCCATGGCGCTGAGCCCGGCATCTCTTTGGATTCTTGGTACAAAGGAAAGGAGGATGAAACAGAGCTTGGGACTGTGCATGTGCGAGGCCCAGTGAGCCGGGAGGATTGTCACTGTGCTGGGTGACACCAGCCCTGACCAGGCACCAACCGATGCCTTCGTACCCAGCATGGGAGCTGCAGAGCTGGAGGACCCAAGAGAAGCTGCTGGGACACGGGAGCCCCCCTGCTCCCTCCCGCCAGCCCCAGGCCCTCGTGCCTTCCCAGCTTGACGGCTCCATCCCTGCCGCCCTTGGCTGAGCTCACGGCCAGGCTGGGCAGAGTCGTGCACGGTGTCTGTGCGTCGGTGGGATGTCCGAGCCCCGCGGCACCGCTGCAGCCAGCAGAGCTCCAGGGCTGCCCTCGCCTTACCTGCGTCTGCTCAGGCCCCCACGGGCCTCTCTCGGGGGACATGAGTTTGTTGGGTTTAGTCATTTTTCACGCGCGTCCACTCTTGAGGGTTTGGGGACTTGGCACGCTTGGAAAGCTGCTGGGCCAAGGGGAAGGCGAGCCGGCGGGGATGGGCGAGCTCACAGCTCCTCTGCTCTGTGGGAAGAACAGACACCCTCAGGCATGCCCGCGGGCAGGCAGCACTCACCTGCCACCAAGCGTGCCCCTGCTGCTGGGACACCCGGGGACATGCCCGTGGTCCCAAGCAGGAGAATTCCCACAGGTGTGTCCCCCTCCCTTTACAGCCATCGAGGTCCTGGCTGAAGGGTCGGGTGGTGGCATCACTGGTGGCCACCTCTGGGGCCACACTCCAGGACACTGCTCCCTCCCTCTTCCCCTCCCAGCACCCCGTCAGGCAGCAGTCAGGCTGGGAGCCGAGGCCCGCAGGGCTGCCACACACCTGGTCTGGGACTTGCTGTCCTTCTCCTCCGTCTTGAGGTGGCAGCGGCAGGTGGAGGCCTTGCTGTAGCTGACAGAGCGCTTGATGGACTTCTTCCACCTCCGTGCACTCCGGACAACCCGCTTGAAAATGAGGTAGAAGATCTCGCAGACGGTGAGGACGATGCAGATGGAGGAGGCTCCGACCATGAAATAGGTGAAGACTCTCTTCTCGGTTGGCCGGGCGATGTAGCAGTCTACGGTGTTGGGGCAGGGCTCCACGTTGGAGCACTTGACCAGCCGTGGCAAGTCAAAGCTGTCCCACATCTTGTGGAGGAGGAAGAGGAACAGGATCTCAATGATAAGCTTGAAGAAGAGGCTGAGCAGGTAGGTCCACCACAGCCCGCCATGCTTCTTGCCCGTGTCGCTGTAGAGCTTGGGGCAATTCTCCCCATTCTTCTGCCGGTTCTTCTTCTCGCGGTCCTCCCGGTAGGCCACGTGCATGATGACCAGGAGGGAAGGGCAAGTGACAAAGATGAGCTGCAGGGCCCAGAGGCGGATGTGGGAGATGGGGAAGAAGTGGTCGTAGCAGACGTTGGTGCAGCCCGGCTGCCGCGTGTTGCAGTCAAAGTCCTTCTGCTCATCTCCCCACACGCGCTCGGCCGCCACCACGTAGACCAGCACACGGAAGACGAAGACCACGGAGAGCCAGATGCGGCCGAAGGCTGTGGAGTACTTGTTGACCCCGCTGAGCAGCGCCTGCAGCGTTTTCCAATCCATGGCGGCCGGCGGAGACCAGAGTCACCCGACCTGGAGAAACAGCAGCAGAAGCGGCGGGTGAAGAGCGATGGGTGACGGCACCGGGCAGCCCCTCTCCCGCCGCGCTTAATCTCATTGACCCCCCAGACTCTCTCCCCCACCGTGTCACGCTCATTTGGGGTGGGGAGGGACCGTTCTACCCGTGGACAGTAAAGCCCAGCCCCTCACTCTCCCGGTGACAGTGACTCGACCTCTCCGTACCTCCTTCTGATGTAAGGGACGAGCCACCCGGCCAAGTCCCCGCCACCACGGCCCTGGCCTGACTGCGCATGTTGGTGTAAATTGGCTGAGCAATTTCCTGGAGCGGGGCAGGACCAAGCCGGGGGGGCAGGCGGGGACGGCTGTGCGGGGCGCTTGGCACGTCAGCAAAGCAGAAGTTTATGGGGACACCAGCCCCACGAGCTGGCACGTCCCTTGGGACGGGGGCAGGAGGGGACCCTGCAGAGCATTTCCAGCCCTGAGAGCCCGCAGGGGCATGTGCCGATGGCCACCAGGATGGACACCCAGCGCCTTGCCATCCTTCCTCTTGGCTGCCCAGCGCCAAGGCGCAGCCTCACTGGTTGCTTCATGTGCCCCTGATGCATCAGAGCCGTGGTGGGAAGGATGGGGGGTGGGGGGCAGTGGGACCCCGTGGGAAGGCACCCTGGCAGGGGCAGGGCTGCGCTGGCTCCCCATGGTGCTGCACCCGACCGGTGCAGCTCACAGTTCGCGCTCCCCGGGCTCGTCCTCTTTCCTCCCCAGGGTTTCATGCAGCTCAGCCACGCTCCCCTGCACGCCCTGCACCAGGTTTGGGGATGGATGGGGACCTTTACCATCAGGGAGATCCCAGGGGATCTCAGCCCTGGTGCCAGCCTTCCCTGAGCCTCGGTTTCTACGTGGGTAAAATGGGCTAAACCAGCCGCCACGCTCTGGTGACGCCGAGAGCCAAAGGGGAAGCAGCTGCTGCAGAGCTGGGATGCTGGAACACGCCAGGGACCGGCTGTCTCTCTCTTGCAGGTGACTCCTGAGGCAGCCCACGCGTGGGTGAGAGTGGGGCTGCTGAAAGCGAGAGTCCGTGCATGTCACCTTGGCTGGCACCCCACTCCTGGCACCCCGCTCCCGGCACCCCGCTTCCAGCACCCTGCTCCTGGCTCCCAGCACCCTGCTCCCAGCACCCTGGTCCTGGCTCCCAGCACCCTGGTCCTGGCACCTAGCACCCTGCTCCTGGCTCCCAGCACCCTGCTCCTGGCTCCCAGCACCCTGCTCCCAGCACCCCGAGGCCCCGTGCCGGCCAAACCGGCTCCGCAGCTCAGCCTGGGGCTTCCCCGGTGCGAGGAGGGCGGCACGCTAAGCCGGATCCAGAACTTTACTGCCGCCTGGATTTACAAACCCCGGGTGATTTTTACCCAGAGGTGAGTTGGCAGCGGTTGACCCCGTGCTGTAAAGGTGGCAGAGGGTTTCACAGGACGGCGGGCTGGGTCTGTTCCTGCACCGTTGGCTTTTAAGAGTTGCTTTGAGCAATGCACAGCGCTGACGCGAGCACAGGGGGGTTTTGCAGTGTGGGGGTGAAGATCAGAGTGAAGCATCCTGCGATCCCGGGGTGAGCAGGGAGGGCCGAGCCCTCGAAAGGCAGAGCCGAGCACCAGCAGCACGCAGAGGAGACTTTTTTGCAGCCTCTTTGCCTTTGCAAGAATTAATCCGGTTTTGCACTGCACTGCCAAATTTCACCGGTCTGTGCCTGACAATGAGGACACGCCGTGGGCCAGCTCCTTGCATGCTGCACGGGACTACAGCGCTGGGCTGCTGCGGGTCTGCAGCACCGGGTGCTTGCACAGCTCCGGCCGAGGGAATGTGCCAAAGCCCCGTGGGAGCTGCCACTGGCCCAGCACGTTGTGGCCGGGGCCAGGGAGGCGGCACCGCGGCTGGCAAACCCTTCCAGGGGCAATGCATCGCACATATCACCAGCCCCAACATTTTATTTCTGTATTTTCTAAAAGAGATCTTATGTGTAAGAAAAACATGTTGTTTTTTTTTTTTTTTTTCAGATAAATGTTTAGTTTCTGTCTGTTGAAGAGCCCGCCCGGAGAGTGTAGGACAACCCGGGAGCCCACAGGCAGCTCCGATTTCAGGCCAGATCAAAAGCTTCGTTCAAGCCTAAGTGCTAATTCCTTCCTTCCTTCCTTCCTTCCTTCCTTCCTTCCTTCCTTCCTTCCTTCCTTCCTTCCTTCCTTCCTTCCTTCCTTCCTTCCTTCCTTCCTTCCTTCCTTCCTTCCTTCCTTCCTTCCTTCCTGCTGCCCACTGACCACCCGGTGCCCTCCGAGACGTACCTGGAGGAGGCTCAGGCTCCTTCCCCACTCACTGGGGGCTGTGGGGCGGGAAGTGCCCACGGTGGGGCATGGCCGGGGACACGATGGCACACGGGAGATCAGGGTCCCCTCGTCCGGGGATGGCTGCACGGCACGGCGAGGCGTCCTGGGGCTGCGGGGAAGGAACAGAGCCTGGAGCACTGCCCGGAGCTCCCGAAGCCACCGGAGACCCCGTCCTTGGCCAGGGCCACCCCACAACATGCCCTGAAGCCGCGGCTGCACTCCCACGCCGCTGGAACCAGGGACATAGCGAGAAGCGCGGCTGAGCTGAGCCGGGGTCCTGTGCCAGCGTGTGCCAAGCGCCAGGGCAGCACCGGTGCCCGCACAGCTTCGCTCACTGACCTGCAGGAGCCCAGGAGATCCTCCCCCCCCCCCGGCCAACCCGCAGCAGCCAGCCAGGGTGGGGAGCAAACCCAGCGCTCCCGCCCGGTCCCTTCGCTTCAAAACCGGGAGAGGGGAGCTGCTGCTTTCCCCTCCTCAGCCAAAAACCGGTGCCGACGGCTGGAGCCCAGAGCCCCTGCACACCCCCAGGGCCAGTGCCCCCTCACCAGCCCACCAGTTCTCCCGTGCCCCCACGCCCGTGCCCTGGACAGTGGAACCCAGCACCCACCTGCCCGGCACCGACGTGTCCAGCTCAGCCCAGTGCCAGCTCTGGCCACGGCCCCGTGGCGGCGGGGGGGAAGGGGCCGTGGCCCCCGTGCCGGGCTGTGGTGTGCGGCACCGTGGGAGCCCCGTAGCCCGGCTGGCGCTGGCTAGCAGCCAGGCAGAGCAGGGCCAACACTCCAGGCGTGCTCGGCTCTGCCTGCACCGCCGGTTTGCTTTCCGTGAAGCCCGGCACCCTCGGCAGCCCCCGGCGTGCCAGCCCGCTGTGTCACCGCCGAGTCCTGCCCTGCGTGGGTGCAGGGTGTTGGGCCCGAAAGCGCCCGGCTGCTGCCTGGGGTGCAAACGCAGCAGAGTGGGGCTGTGCACTTTCTCGGGTGGGGGGACGTTGCTCAGCCTCTTTCAGTCCCTGGGGCGGGCTGTGGGACAGAGGAGCAGGGCCTGGGGGTGGCCACTCCTGCTTCTTGGGGTGCCACGCCGTGCCTTCCTCCTTTATCACTCCCCTCCCCGGGTGCGCAGCCCCCACGGCCAGGAACCCCAACACTGCCCATGGGGTCCCGGCGTGGCACTGCACGATGTCAGGGTCCCCACCTTTGGCCATCACGGGCACAGCAGTAACACAGCTTCCACCTGCACCCCGTTAGCACCACGGGGTCCATCCCCCCACAACCTGCGGGTCCCCAACACCCCACATCTCCGCCCCGGCGCGCCAGAGGTACCTGCCCAGCCAGGAAGGGCCAGATCCGGGCAGCTTGTGGAGTCGGGATTCTCTTTCCCAGCTGTGTTGTCCTCAGCCCTCCGGCGTGCCCAGGCTCCCTCTGCAGCACTGCGTGTGTGTGGGGAGGGGAAGGGTAGTTTGTGCTGTTCCCAGTCACTGGGTGAGTCTGGCAAACAGCTCCTGTAGAGCTTCTTGCCTGCGTACATGCACACACACGCTCAGGTTGAACAATAAAGGCGGGTCAAATCCTGCAGTGAGATCAACGGAGCCGGAATTCTCGGTGAGCCCCTGCCAGGTGATGCTCCGACCCCAGCACGGGTGGCTCTGGGCACTGCGAGCCCAGCAGCAAACCCCACGCAAGACCAGGGCGGCCGGGGATCAACACTGGGCTTACACCGTCCCCCCAGGTATGGGTCAGCCAGCAGTCGTTGCTAAGAATCACAAATTACGCAATTCTAACCTACTTTTTAAATGGTTTTACCTTAGTAATAGTTTTGCAACACCTCATCGGTATCTTCAACCTACAGCAACCTGCAGCCACCGCCCAGCCAGGGCTGGGGCGTCCCGGATGGGACCTTTCCCAAATTGTGCCACAGACCGGGTGGCAGAGCGTGGCAGCAGGGTCCCCACGCAGTGGGACCTGGGATGTGTCCCTAAGGTGGGGTGTGTCCCTCTCCCCAGAGCCGAGTCAGCCCCTCCCTGCTCCAGGATGCCCCACTCAGCCTCTCCCCCTGTGGAGCAGCCCCCGTTCCACAGTTTCACACCAAAGCTTTTCCCGGCATCGCTCCGGCACACCCCAGGGGCCGAGCACAGGGCAGCGGTGTTTTCCCAGCCGCTCCCTGGCCCACGGAGCCCCACGCGGCGCCTCGCCGGGGCCACCCCCTCCCATGGGGACGCGTTTGAAGAGCCCCTGCCGGGTGCTCGATGCTCTGAGAGGTTTGCTCCCCACATTCGTGGCGGACAAGGAGCTGCTCACCCAGCAGCTTTTTGGCTCCAGGAGGTCAAATATAAAGTGTGAGGGGGGTTCGTCCGGCGGGGAGAGGCCATGGGGGTGGGAGCCAAGAAATCCAAAGCAAACCCTTGCAACAGCCTGGGGGTGCCTGTGTCTGCCCCCGCAGGCACCAGCATCCCGGATGAGAGCAAAGGGAGGTCTCCGGAGCAGCCGGGAGCCTCCCCTCACCCAGGAGCTGCCTTTGCACGGTCCTATCGGCAGGATCAGGAATTTGAGCTATGTCGTCGAGAGCCGGCGTGGCGGGAGCTCGGGCAGGAATCTGGGGGCTGGGGCTTTCGAGGTGAAAAACCCAGGAGAGAGGGAAGATGGTGAGAACCACCAGCCCGGCTGATTTCTTGCCAAGGCAGCAGCTCCCTGCCCCACAGTAAAACATTGTAAGGGCCTGGTGAAGAGTGGGGCTGGATCCCGCCAGCAGCCTCTCGCCTGCAATTTTGGAATTTCAGGAGAGGCCACAGCGAGAAAGTTCAGGTGCCTTTTGGCACAAGTAGAAGATTTCCCCTAAGGCAGTTGGGTGGGGAACAGAAACACCCTGTGTTTCGGAGTGTTTCGTGGTGCTGCGCTGGGTATTTGGGTGTCCCAGCAAAGGACAAATCCCTGGGCCCCCTCCACCATCCTTGTGCCGACTGCTCCGGCGTGGGCACAGGGACGAGGTGACAACGAGTTTCGGCAGCTCTCAGCACCGGGGAGCCCTCGGAGGAACTTTGGGTACATGCCCGGGGTACGTCACCCTGCTGTCACCCCGCTCGACTCGGTGGGGTGACGGGTGAAAGGCTTCAGTGCCACATGGGAACACTAAAAACACCCAGTGACTTCCAGTGGCCCAACTTTGGGTCCTCCATCAAGTTAAAACATAAGCAGCGGAGCAGGCAGCTGCCAAACCAGCAGGAAAACATCAAAGTGTCTTTAAAAGGGTTTTAAACTGGGCATTGCAGGAGGCAGCACTTGGCTGGGACCCAGCTCTGCCTTTTATCTCCAGCTCCCTGCCTGCCAACAGCATCTCGGCCATCCCGCTCCAGGGCCACGTCCCCAGGGGGGGAAACTCCCCCGCGAGCGCCTGGGAGTCACCGGAGCCTGGGAGCCGGCTCGCTGGACATAAATCAGAGAGTTTCTCTTCAACTCCCAGCAAACAGGCGGTTTTCAGACAGGGAAGAAACAAGCCCCCACTGGGAAGGACAGGCTACCCCCGACCTGTGCTGCTGCACACATGGGCCCCTCCACATCTCTGGCTGGGCTGGAGTGATGGTTTTGTTTTAAATCTCCTCTCCCCAGAATTCAGGGGGCTTTCTGGGCACCCTGCAAGCAAATACAAGCCCCTGTATGATGATGCAAAGTCTGGAAAAGATGCAGCTTTTATTGTGACATCCCCCCAGTTTATTTTCTTTCCCACCAACACCAGTCCTGCCTCAGAAACGCAGCAGAAAGAAGCAGCCGAACGCTCCCGTTCATCCAGCCAGCTGCCACTGGTCCCAAGCCCAGATGGTGCAAGACACCCGGAGCTTTGCTCTTGCTCTGAGCGAGATAAAGCAGCACAACAACAAGCGGCAACTGGATCGTCAGGTCTCTCCAACTGGGCAGCAGCTCTGGCTGCCGCTTTGATGTGCGGAAGCGGGGCAAGCGGGCAGGGTGGTTGCTCTGGGTCTCCTCTCTGTCACTATTAGGGCTTGCAGCTGGGGAACACCTCAGGATCTTGCTAATCAAGGGCCATCTTGATCAAGAGCAGCCAACCTTGCTTGAAAACAAACAGCCCAGCCCCAGCTCTTTAAGTCGGAGGCAATGGCTTGCACACAAAGAACACGGTGTATTGTCTGACGTTAAAGGCTTCAGTAAAGAAAAAATTCAGGTGGATTATCCAGCAAGCACAGCAATGAGAGCAGACAGAAGGCAGGCAGGGATCAGCACAGCTTCACTTAAAAAGAGATGGCAGAAATCCACCCGTACTTCACCATCTGCTTCTCTTACCTCAAAAGTCTCCAAACTCCCCAGTGTCAGCACAAGGACCTGCCAGAGGGTCCCAGGCTGGTGACAGGGATCCCCTCGGGCTCCCCCACTATCCCCCACCCCTGTGGGGTGGCCGGTTGGGTCCCTGCCCTCTGCCTCCCCCTCCAGCGCAGCCGTGGGGGTCCCTTTCCCCGGGGTGGGCCACGGGAAGGAGCTCAGCTTTGCCCAGTGAGGGGCTGGGGTGGGACTGGGTTCGGTGTGCTGCAAAGTGGCAGTAGCTGCGCTGAGCTGCCCCCGAGACCGGCCCTGCTCCCAAAGGACACGGCGATGGCATCCCCCCCTCCCCGTGCCACCCCCTTCGCAGCAGAGACAGCGAGTGCCAGGGCTGTCAGTGCTCACGGGAAAAATAATAATCGCACCCTCTAAATAAAGCGAAACCCATAACAGATCGAGCTGCATGTTCAATGTTAATGTTACTTATGAGTGCATTTGCCATGAAATTATTGTTAATTATTCATCCCGGCTAATGCTCAGTTACCGCTGATGGCCTTAGAAATTGCAGTGCCGCCTGAGTCACAGCAGAACACGACATATTACAGCAATAAACGAGATCATATTCTGCCATTTAATGTTATTGTTTAATCAATGGTTGCGGTGTTTTTCCTCTCCTTTATTCGGCTGTTTTGCTCAGGTGTTTTCCTCTAGCGGGGCAGGAAGAGCCGGCAGCCCACGCTGGGCTCTGCCTGCCCGGCCGGATCCTCACCCCTGTACTTCGCTGGGGTGGCTGCCGCACCAAGCACGTGCTCTTGTCCCCACTCGGATAATGAGTGTAATTAATGACCATCACATCCGTCTGAACTGGCCCCGACACCTGCGGTGCAGCTTACATAGGCCGAGGGATAGGGGTTCCTTGGGGTGTCCGTCCTGGCCAGCCCCTCGCCCCCCCACATCCGAGCTGGTTTGAAAGCTTGTGACATGTCGAATTTGTTCCAGCCTGTCCCTGCCAGCCCACGGCCACCGTGGGTCCCTGGGGACATTCACACCCCTGGGTGTGCCCGCCGGTGCCCAGCAGCCCATATTAAATCAAGAATTTATTTCATTTTTTTTTAGAGCCTGTGATTACAGGGAGATAATTAAGCTGTCCTGCTTGCTCGCTTGCATCCAGTGCCTGAATGCAGCAAGAGTTTTGCCGTTGACTTGCTGGGCAGAAGGACAAGCCCTTCCCCTGGCAGCACAGAGCTCGTAACATCCCCAAACCCACCCTCCTGGCCTTGATGCTCCCCATCTCCGGCCAGAGCCGTCGCTCATGCCCAGCTCCAGGGGCTGCTCCAGTTTTCAGTGGTTTTTCTGCAGCAGAGCCAAGCCGGCAGCCAGTGGTTTGTCACCACGGCTGGTCTGGGGGCAGCATGGAGCTGCCCGGGGGAGCGATGCCTTTCCAGGGGTGCTGTGCCCGAGGAGCAGGAGAACAACCGCCTTGGCCATCGCTTCCGAGGGACAGAAATTGTTATTCCTTGCAAGGATACCCTCAGGACCAGCTGAGGCAGCCTGGCTAGGACAGGCCTGACCTCCGGGCACCGCTGCCGGGTCACGGAGCTGCTTGCTCCTGTTTGCTCTTGGGGACTGCCCGTGTCCTACAGCACCTGGTTTTACCCCCAATTCAGCAGAACGATGTAACGTGCCTTCCCCAGGGTGGGAGAAGCAGACTGCCCTCGGGCACAGCCCGACACTGAGATGCTGCTGCCCCCAGTGTTCCTGCGCCGGGGAGACGGAGGAGGAAGAGGAGAGGGGAGATGAAGGTGCAGAGCAGCTCCTGCTTTCCGCTGGCGCAGCTCTAGGAAAGATCCTCCTCCTCGGGCAGCGTGCTGGGGCTGGAGGCCATGGCGGGGCTGGAGGCCGTGGCGGGTTTGTAGTCCACCCCGTGGAAAACTTGCCCCCCCGTGCCCGCGGGCTCGGCGTGGGAGAGCGCGCAGTCCTGGCTGTGCCGGCGGCACTCCCCGCTGCCGGCCAGGAGGCACTCGCGGCACCGCTTGCCGATCAGGTAGACGGCCTCGACAAGGCTCAGCACGACGCAGATGCAGGTGGTGACCACCATGAAGAGGGTGAAGATGGTCTTCTCGGTGGGCCGGGAGATGAAGCAGTCCACCACGTTGGGGCAAGGGGGCAGCTCGCACTTCACCAGCCGGGGCAGGGTGTAGTTCCTGTAGAAGCGGTAGAAGATGTAGAGGAAGACCACGTCCACGCCGGCCTTGAAGAAGAGGCTGAGCAGGTAGGTCCACCACAACCCCCCCCGCTTTTTGCCGGGGTTGGGGTAGATGCAGCGGCCGCTGTCCCCGCCGGCGGCGCGGCGCCTCTGCTCCTTGGCCTCCCGGTAGGCCACGTGCATGATGACCAGGAGGGACGGGCAGGTCACCAGGATGAGCTGCAGGGCCCAGAGGCGGATGTGGGAGACGGGGAAGAAGTGGTCGTAGCAGACGTTGGTGCAGCCCGGCTGCTTCGTGTTGCAGTCGAAGTCCTTGTGGTCGTCACTCCAGACCCGCTCGGCCGCCACCACGTAGACCAGAAGGCGAAAGATGAAGACGAGGGAGAGCCAGATGCGGCCGAAGGCTGTGGAGTACTTGTTGACCCCACTGAGGAGCCCTTCAAACACCCCCCAGTTCATGGTCCCCCAATCCTGTTAGCTAGCCTGGGAGGAGAGAGAAAATACAGTGACCCTGAAGAAGCAGCAAGAGGTCCCCGTTGGAGCACCTGTGTGCCCCAAAGCACTGAGCCCTGCTCCTGCCTGCGTGGCCTCAGGGATGGTCTCTGGCCTTGGCTCGCACATGGGGACACGCACCAACGCGAGCCCCAGCACAGACCCGCTCCGGGCGACGCGTCTCCGCAGAGCACCGTCCCCTTCTGCGGGGTCACGGGGACCCGACGGAGCTGGCCGGTTCTGCCGCGGCAAAACCATCCTTCAACCACCATCAGCTACGGCCCACGGCTCAGCCCCGCGCCGTCCTGCGCCGCCCGCCCCATCCCTCACCTCGTTACCCAGGTATTTGTTATTAATTTTCCTTACGTTGTCAGGCCTGGCCCAGGCAGACGACAAATAGGAGCAGCCGGGGCATGACTCACCCGGCAGCTCTGCGGCTCCGCCGCCGCGTCCTCTCCCAGCGCTGGAATCTGCCGTCGTTCTCCCACCCGGGCCGCGTGGGGGGAGCCCCACGCTGACCCACGCCGTGTCCCACGCGCCCGGCACGGCACAGCACGGCAAGTGGGTGAGCCAGGGAGGGGGGCTGCACAGCCCAAAGGCAACGCTGAGGTGCTGAGCCGGGGCTGGGCAGCCAGGGTAACCAAATTTCATCAGCTCGGACTGATCTCAGCCCGCCCCGGCCCCCAAGACCCCAAGGTTTGACCCTGGATTACATCATGACAGATAAACCCACCCCACGGGGCGTGGGGCTGCGGGCGAGCGGGGCTCCCAGGGCTGCGTTTGGCACCAACTCTCCTTAAACGTTTTACCTATGGGTAAAATAACAAGATTCCCCCTCGCTGGCAGAGCTCTTGGGGGTGAACGCGCCCCTCTGCTCCGCACAGCCAGCCTGTGCGCCACGGGGGGCACAAACCTCCCCCGGGGGATTCAGCAGCTCCTGTTTTGCTGGGTCAATCCCCGGGGAACACACACAAACCCCAGTTTTTCTCCTTCCCTGTGCGCGTTTTTGCCGGTGGCCCGGGATGTGCCCATCACCCTGGCGTTGGGTCGGGCTCTGCGGCGTGCACCCTATTGCAGATGCATCTTCCCCAGCCTCCCCCCCCCATTACCACGGCAGGGGGGCTGCGGCACAGGGCTGTTTTCATGCCACTTACCTGCGGGGTGTCCCTCTGCCGAGGCCGGCGCTGCTGCGGGTGGGTGGTTGCCCACGGCAGGATCGCATCACCGGCGCGGGAGACGCCGGCGCCCTGTGAGTCATCCCGGGGCTCCTGGGAGCAAGGAGGAGATTCCCAGGGGGAAGGGACGAGGTTCGGGGCAGATCCCCACACGTCCTCGCCGGCTGCCAGATCTCCCGGGGCGAAGGGCTGCCCCGCAGCGCGCGGGGGCCCGATCCTGCTGCCGTGCGGGGAAGGGCGGGTGCTCAGAACCATCAGCCCTCAGCTGCTGCGGGGGGGGGGGTGGGGGGTGCCGGGGTGCCCAGCACCGCCTGGGGTCCCTCCAGCCCCTCCCTGCGCCCAGCTTCCCTTACTCAGACCTGCAGGGACGATGTGGCCGCAGCACTGGAACCCCCTGCCCGAGGCACCAGGAGCTGCTGAGCCGACCACCTCCCTTTATAACCCCTTTTTACTCACACTTTGCACCACGGCAGTAACTTAAGAAGAGCCTTTATCTCTCCCCACCTTCTGACAAGTGGGTGGCAGTTGATTATTTCACCGCGAACTAATTAACCGCTTTGCCTGTGCTCCCTTCACCTGCAAGCTGGTGCAAGTCTTCCCCATCATCCCATCACCAGATCCTGGGAGCTCCCAGTTCAGACAACCCCCTCTGAGGCTCAGCTCCCAGTTTGCAGCTCTGGGGTGCGGCAGGGAGCATGGAGTAGGGGCACAGGGGTGGGGGTCAGGTGGGTGGGGGTCCGAGGAGCGGGTGCTGCTGTGTGGGGTACAAGAGCTGAGGTACGGCTGGAGTCATTTGAGGAGCAAACACACATTTCATTTGCAATTCTTCTGGGTTTAAAAAAAAAAAATAAATGTAGAGAAACAAATCTAAACAGCTGTAAAGTAAATTACCACTGTTTGCGGATGGCTCCAGGGAAGAGTTCTGCAGTTTGAAATCAAACAAGACCATTTTTATTTTTCTTAACATGCCTGTGCGGTGGCTGTGCCAGAAAGGGGCTTCCCGGGGGGTGCATCCTGCCGTGGGCAGGCAGGGAGGGCACGGGGCAGCACCCACCCTGCCAGCACCCAGCAGTGGGTGCGGGGGATGCTCTGCCCCAGGCACCCCCAGGCTTGCGGGTGTCCGAAGGGGCTCTCGTGGCTTGCTGCTTTCTGGGTTAAAATCCCTTCTTTTGGGGAGCTGCCAAATGTCATGGGCTGTTTCTGCCAGGGCTCGAGGCAGAGCACCCCCCCACCCCTCCACAGCACCCTACAGCCCTCCTGGGAGTGTGGGCACGGGTGGCTTTGATGGCAGGAGGGGAAGGTGAGCAGCCACGGAGCTTCACTCTGCGTAACGCTGGTTGGGACCGTCCAGCTGAGCCAGAGCGGGGATCAGCCCCGTCTGCCTGGCAAATACCCGCTGGGGGCACAAAACAAATAAATAGGGAGCGAAAAAACCGCAGAGTGGGGTGAAGCGAGAGGCAGGGGCTGCTCTGCCACCATCTCTCCCTCCCAAGCAGCAGCCAGGGCTGGCACCGGGCAGCGGGAACCACGGCATCGGCTCTGCAGCCGGCGGCTCGTGGGGCATCCTCTGCCCTTGGGCTGGCAGGCACCGAGCTCCCGCGGCCAGAGCTGCCATCCCACCGCCTGAAATGTGCTGGAGATTCCGGTTTCCCCAAGGCAGAAGGGGGGGTGCCGGAGGCTGCACCCTCCGCCAGCCCAAACCAGCCAGCCCGCATGAGTTTGCAGCGCTGGGGACACTGAGGTGTATTAATGGCAGCACTTTATCTTCCAGGAACGAGTCCCATTAGTACATTTTCACTACAACATGAAATATTAATAACACTTTGCATTTATATAGCGTCATTCATCCAGGAGTCACCAGCCAAGCTCCTGACATGAATCAAACACCACAGCCAGCTCCGGAGGAGGCAGGTAAATAGGATTATACCCATTTTCCTGCTGCCACACACTGAGGCACAGGGTTCCCTCCAGGCCACCGGTGCCTTGTGCTGATGCCTGTCACGGGTGAGAGCACCAGTGCCCACCGTCCAGGGGTGCCACTGCTCTAAAGCTCACGGGGCCGCCTGCCCTGCGTGGGGCATCTCCACCCAGCCCACCCGCCTTGCAGGGAGTTTTGCTGCCGTCAGACAGAACTTGCTGTAGAAAAGCAGAAGTGCTTCCTTGGGCCACTGGCATGCTGCTTTTCCCTTGAAGGTTTTGGAATTGTGAGAAGAGTTTTTCCACTTTGTAAAATACCAACAATGAGAGTAATATTCAGAATTCTGTCGGTCCTTTTGGTCCTTTCCTTGGCGCATTTCGCAGATGTGAAGCACAGCAACCCTCGCGCTTGTCACCTCACCTCACCCCGCCTGCACAGCTGGAGGCTGCTCTGCTCCCCGGGAAGCCAAGGGCATTGCTGGGTGATATTTCACAGCATCTCCTGTCCCTCCACCAGCAGCTCCCTCTGGCTCGGCTGCCCCACGCCGCACAGGTCGTGAATTCCCTCTTTTTCCAGCCCACCTCTGGGAGTGGGTGCCTTTGCTGAGGATGCCAGCAGCCAGGCTGGGGTGTGCTGGCTGGCCAGCATGCGTTGGGGGGATTATTGTCTTGGATTAAAAATAATAGTCAAGGAAGGATATGTGTTTTACGTTTGTGCTGTGAAGAGTGAGGTGGCTGGGTGCTCTCTTTGGAGAAGGACCCCACGGGCACGTGGCTGCTCTCCGGGACCATCTGCTGAGCTTCCCCAGCTCCAGCGACTCGCAGGGTCCCAGCAAACCCCACGAAGGCTGGGCAGGTCCTGAGGTCTCCGTTTCACTTTCAATCAGGTGAAACCACCAGGGACAGCTGGGGTTTCTGCTGAAAAGTTTGATTTTTAAATTTTTTTTATTTTTTTATTTTTTTTTTAAAAGTCCATCTGAGGAAGTTTTGGGGAACGGAGCCCAAACACACCTGCTCCGGTTGCTGCCACGTTACCAATATTGGGCTGATGGTGCAGGGAGGGGAGTTGTTCGGTGCAGTCAGGAAACCTGAGAGACAGCCGGGCCCTGGCACAACCCTGAGGCTCCTGCAGCATGAAAGAGCATGCAGAAAACCAGTGGGGAAAGGGCTATTTTCATCTTATTAAAGAGCCTTATATTTAAACCCTCCTTCAGGTCGGTAGCACAAGATGATTGCAAAGGCTTTTATACACTAACTCAGCAGGAATCGCTTCTGCTGTCAGTGATGTTGCATGCAGATGCTGGTTAGCGGGGCGGAATCCCATTATTGATGCTGGATAAATACAGAAAAATAGGTGCTGTGTGAAGGTACGGAGCGGGTGGTGAGCGGCAGGGAAGCGCTGTTTGCACAGCCCAGCCCCTCGCTGCTCCCTTTGCCCAGCACCATCCCTATTCAAAGAAGAAGGCACCTTGTTTGCAGATAATTAAAAAAACCCAAACAGCTTAGGGAAAACTAAACGCACAGAGCAGGCTGGATGTTGGCTCAACCACCGGGAAAGTTGTGCGAGCATCTGCGCCGTGCCCGGGTCAGCCCCGGGGGCCCTGGTACCCCACTTCCCTGGCCCCAGCCACCAGCCCATGGCCCCCCCCCCCCCCCCCCCCCCCACTGTGCTCCCAGCTGCACCCCAACATCCTGGGGCTCCCCACCTCCCCACACTGCCAACACCTTGAGGGACTTGCAGAACCCCCCAGGCCTTAGGGGAGGCTCCCAGCCCCTTTTGGCCTCCTCGTCTGGCCGGGGGAGGTGTGTGTGTGGGTGTGTGTGTGTGTGTGTGCCAGCAAAGGGTGGTGGGAGCTCCCAGCAGATGCTGGTGGCTCTGGGCCACGTGCCGTGGGACTGGCCTCCCGCCTCCCAGCACGTGTGGGAAGAGCCAGCGCAGCCCCAGCGCCTCAGCCGGGGGCTCAGCAGGAAGGGAGAGGGGCGCGAGGGCTTCGAACCCTGTTTTTAACAGGTCCCCCAGGGCGCTGGGGTGGTTTTCACCCAAAGCACTCCGGGCAGCGCTGCTGGGGAAGGAGGGAGGCTACGGTTAAAGGAGGATGGTGAGAAGGCAGCGTGCCGATGAGGAGGGGGCTGCGGCCCCGGGGAGAGTGGTGCTGCCTGGATCCAGCATCACCGAGCGGATGCGCTGGGACCGTGGTTCTGCTGCGGTTGGACCCACGGGTACGGCGGGGCAAGGGGGGGCTGCAGCCCGGAGCAGCCGTGTGCTGTACCCCCCAGCCCCCCAGCACAGAGGTGCTGAAAGGACTTTGTGCTGCCTCGTGTCAGCATCGAGCCCGAGCTGCCCTAAGAGCCCCTGAGATTAATGCTTCCCCGGCGCAGGTTTCCTTCCCGTGGCCAGGACGGTGGTTTGCAGACGTGCTGGGTTTTTTTAGAAACTCTCCTACGGCAAATCCGCGTTCAAGGGCTGAGCTGGGTGAGAGCAGGGAACCCCTCCGTAGCCCAGCCTGGCAGCGACTGTCTAACACGGCCAGCACCCATCAATCCGCTAACGGTTCTAAGTGAGACTGCAGGGAGTAACCTCGTTTCTGGGGAGAGCTTAATTAATCACAGAATCAAACTGACTTGATGAGATGGTTTGCTGCTGAGGAGACAAATTCACATGGTTGGTGGTGGCTGAGGATGGGGACGAGGTTAGCAGGGACCTAAGTCACGGCACAGAGAAGGAGACAGGGCAAGCAGCGTGCCAGAGCACGTCTGTCCCGTGAAACCTTTCTCTGCACTGGGAAGCAAACGAGTGGGACACAGAGGGGAGGTGCTGCTGTGGCATTTTGTCCCTAAGAAGGCAGAAATAAGCGCAGTCCCAGTCTGTACAGACCATGCCCCTGCAGTGATGGCAAGGGAAGAACGTGGAGGGCAAACTCGTAAGCTGGAGGGGACCGTGGGCAGTCACACAGTCCTAAAACCCAGGCGGGGAGGGCTTGGGGTCCCGGGATGCTCCCAAAGTGGGAGCAGGGTCCAACCCAGCCCTCAGCCCCTGACAACTGCCCCGAAGGGGCCCGGTTACGCCTGTATTGGGTAGTTTGGCCAAATAATCATTGTGCAGATGACATCTTTGCCCTTGCCGTTGACCTTGGCACCATTCAAATAGACGACCCGCAGGTCAAAGTCTTTATATCCTATTACCAGTCGCCTGAGTCATGCCTGTCCCCTGGCAAGTTATATTATTTTGAAATGGCAGCTAAATGGGAAAGAGGTCGTGCTCCCAATACGGCGACAATAGGACATGACAGCACTTTGCTGAGTGATTAAGCCTCAGGTGATGTCGGGGCTACAAGACAAGTGGCTGAAGGCTGAAAGACTTTAATCACCCCTGACATGTCATCGCATCCTCGTGCTCCATCCTGCCGGGGTGGGCTTTTAGTGCGAAATGGGAGCAATAGAAAAAATAATCAAACCCAACCTGTGCACCTACCAGTTAGCTATCCATGCTGCAGGTACCACTGCTAATAATCAGCCTGAGCAGCCTGT